ATTTGACAGATTAATTAAATATGCCGCACTGCACGGCACTGCAAGTGCAAACTTACATTTACGGGCACGTATAAATATATATGTTAGTAAGTACATATATTTACATACATAAACATGTGTTATGGAACTATAGAAAAATAGTTTATCACGTCTAGACTCTATAGAGTCTCTCTATTATCTACGCACATACATAGACACAGAGCCAAGTTTGTTGTTTTATTGTTGTATTCTACGTATGTTTGTATATATTTCAATGTTTTTGTTGGAACACAGGTTTGGGTATATATAGTATATATATACTTATAGTCGTCACTAACCGAGTGAATCAAGTGCTCAGGTGTGCGAAGTGATAAGCCATATATGGCTATAAAGTCCAGCCTGGTCACAACACCACGGGGAGTAGAGTATGTGTGTGGCATTTGTGCAAAAATAATAATAAACAAAATAAAATAAAATCAAATATAATAAAAGCAGCATACAAAGAAGATTTTATTTTATTTTACAAATATAGCAAATATCTTTGCTTGGCCTGTGGTGCACATTTACACTGTAAAAAAAGAAAAACTTAACTAGCTATAAATTATAAAGGTATATAGGTAAAATATTATACAATTAAAGTTTTTACCAGTAGACAAACTGAAACTGAAACTCCTGCACATATATAATACTTTATTTTGTGATCATTATCATTTAGAATCCTATTAAAATGTAATAAAATGTTACATAAGAAATGTTTTCAATTTGATAAAAGATTTACTTATCCTTAAACCTTTTAAAACTATATCCAACGACCTAAGCTTTCTTTAAAATATCTCTTCAATTTTAAATTAAATTCCCAAAAAGATTATAGAATCTTTTGTGATCATTATCATTTAGAATCATAATAACATGTAATAAAACATTACATATAAAAAGTATTTAATTATATAAAAAGTTAATAATTCTTAAAACCTTATAAAACTATATCCAAAAGAACCAATAAATTATCTCCTAAACTTTCTTAAGCAATATTTCTTCAATTTTAAATAAATCCCAACATGGTTAAAGAATTGAATAAACTTCACCATTCCGAAAGAGTATTCCCCACTTCGTTTTTGGCATTCCTTAAGCTGTTATCAGTTGTACTTAATTATTTGTTGTGCTTTATTGTTTTATATTTCACGTTTCACATTTTCATAGATTTTTTTGCTTGGCTTTTGTTGTTTTTAGTTTCGCATTTCTACAACACCTGACGTTTTTTCCACTTTACTTGTGTTTACCTGCTCTCTTTCTCCAACCCTCTTCCCCTTTCCCCCTCTCTCTCTTGCTCTGCTCTTAGCCCGCTTTGGCATTCTACCATTTATGCTAATTTATTTGCCTGTTTACCAGCTTTTGTTTTAATCTGTTTGGGGGCCGTGTTGACACTCACCGCTCGCTCATTCGCTCATTCGCTCGACAAAAGACAATGAGTTGCCAGAGTCTGAAATTACAGTAAATTTATTGTTATTCCCTCGCTAATTATGTTAATTTATTAATTTGGCTTAGTTTGTGTGCTGGCAAAAATAACAAAAAATACTCGGAGGAAATCAAAATTAGCTTACAACAATTAATTGCCGGCAATTAACATAAGCCGAGGAGCGTAAAGAGCTGCTGCGTTCGTTCGTGCATCCGGCAGATACAAATGGATCGCACACAGATGCAGATACAGATACTACACTCCCCCCGCCCATCCCGCTCCCTGCAAATATTAGCATTTCAGCGGGTTCTGCATTATCTTTTGATTTTAATCGCCACGCTCGACGATCTCGCACGTTAACAGTTGGCGCGGAACACAAAGCCAAAGTCAGAGCAGAGTCTTTGCTCTCCAAAAGATTGATGACGGACAGTTGGCTGGGTTTTTGTGGCCTGAAAACGAGTAAAATGTAACCCTTTCAATGCTATCCAAGGGGGGTGTATGTTGTTATTATAAACAAATTCAAAAGAAACTGTCAAGTTGGCAACACAAAATTATAACGCCTGCTTCCGTTTCCGGTTACATTATGTGGTCTTTAAATGTTGGAAAATGGGGTTTTTATTCGTTAGTTGGGGTTATTTATTAAGTTAATGGAAGAAAATATATTATGTAGATGAAGAAAATTGAATTTTTAATAAAGGTATTATTTAAAATGTTTAGTTTTACTTGAAATTTATTTTTGAACTAATTAAACTTGCTTTCCATTAAAAAAAGTAATTTAAAATAGCAAAAGCAAATACGTTTTTCTCTCTATAACTTTGTAATACATTTTCTATTTAATTTATTTATTTAAAAGAATGTGATTATATATATTTTTATACTGTATTATATGATATTAATCTTGATTATATACACATTTATACGGCAGGGTATTTAAATTGTAGGGTATTATTAATCTAGTCAAAACCTTTAAAGAAGGACTCATTTCCGACCCCATAAACCATATATATTCTTGATCAGCATTAACAGCTGAATCGATCTAGCCATGTTTGGTTGAAAAAAAAAATTTCAATTTTTTTTGAATTTTTTTTATTTAAATTTTAAAATCGTTAAAATTGTCAAATTTTGGCAAAAAATGTAATTTGTTAATTTTAAAAACTTAGTATGCAGATTTGTTAAGGCCTTAAAAACTAGCAAAGAACCGCTTTCCGAATTGAAATTAATGAATTTTTGGCTTAGTTATGATATTTGAAATACTTTGATTTACCCAAAAAAGTATCATACAAAAATATGGTTTAATATAACTGTAAGTTTAGGTTTTCTTCCTGGTATACGAAGGCCAAGAAACATATTACTGTTCTTAAGTACAAAATATATTTCGTTTTGCAATCCAAATCATACAACTATTTCAAAACCCCAAACATCACTACCTTCCTTATAATTTAATTGCAAATCTCGGCTAGTTTTCCTAGTTTTCGTATTTCCCCCTCCTACAAATTTCCTTTCAATGCAAGCCAAGATCAAGTTGAAAGGTCATAGATATGCTTTTGCACCTTTTAATGATTAGGACAAAAGCATATAGAGGAGTGTAAAGCCGCCCACTGAGCATTTTCGAGCACGATTCAATTACCAATTATCACGTATACGCACCGTCAGACGACGAACAGGTTTTCGCCAGAAAGGGTGGGGGTGGAAAGCCAGAGAAAAGCACCGAGAGTGCCAATGCTATTCAAATGCAACCAATACATATACATAGATATCTGTATATATATATATATATATATATCCCCGACTCAGAAATGGATATGCACTCCAAGTGTACATGCCCATTAAACTTGGCCTAAGCACCGTTCAAAGAGAGACTGGATTGTGTATCGTCGTCGTAGTCGTGTGTTGTATGTCACTGGAAACTAGTTTGCTTTTCCAAACGGGTTTCCCTGCCCCCCCCCCCCACCCCCCATCATCTCACTGTGGGTGTGTGTGGTGTGGTGTGCCAATTTGTACACGGTTTATATACACAATATATATATTTATGGATTCCAAAAGAGAACCCATAATGATGGAAATGTCAACACGATACCCATTTGCATAAAGCGGCGGCATACGACTTTACCCTTTCTTTTAATTAGCAAGTGTTACTGCCCGAAGATCTATAGATTTCGATTCAGTTTTTAGTTATAGTTGTAGTTTCTTTGAGATATATGTATATATGCTCGGCACCCCTTCCTCCGATAAATCACATTGATTAATGACTGTGGTCTTGTTTATGCGTTGTTCGACAATGGCAGCTACCAAAAGGCATTCGTCTCCCGACATTTGAATTAATTAATTATGTGAAAGTGGTGGTATTTAGTGTGAGCTTCAAGATTTACGATGCCGCATCTTGGTCGATCTTTAAATTGACTGATTAAATATGAAATTAGCAGGCTGCCCACACTAAACTTGAGAATTTGTGAAGCTTAGATAGTTTCTCCAGCTCATCGCTGCCCGATTTGGCAATTTCGATTTCTGGGTGGGTGGGATCGGAGGTTATAGACAAAAAAAAACCTGATATTCATAGACACTCTGATTAGCATTGAATATCGGGGCTGGGCGGAATATTAAATGTCAATTATGCAAATATTGAATTACCTTTTACGGACAGGCTTTATAGCTACAATTCGAGGCGTCTTGATTTGTTTGTTTTGTATTTTTTGCCTTATCAAGTACATCAAGTATACGACATGATGGCCTGCTAAACTCATGAAAAACTGTTGCTTTTGTTATCAGCAAATTATGGTTTTTTTTGGTTGTGCTAGCTATTATTAAATGATGCCAGTCATGCCACAGAAAAAGCACTCGAAAGTCGGTGATATAATCTTCACGTTAATCCCAATTAGTGAAGAGAAGGCCAGCTTGAGAGGTATCCATGGCAACCAACTCTATATTGACCCAGGTACACGGGCACATAATCATGGCTCGAAGCTTGTACATCGTTTGCTGAAGTTTATTAAGTTCCCTGGTTCATTGTGCGTATGCAAATCCATCTTTCTGCCATTCAGGCACAATTAGACACGACTTCTGCTGCTCCTGCCTCCTCTTGAGAGGCACAAAAATGTGCAGGGGAAAAGCCAGTTCCTATTGCTGTTGCTGTTGCTGTTTGTGTTCCTGTCATCCGGATGTATACGTGCTTTTCCTGAAACTTTTCCAGGGAAAAGTCTGACTCTGACATGGCAGAGTCAAGTCATGCACAAGCCCCATTCCCGTTCCCATCTCCATCTCCTTTTCATTCTCATAATTTTTGGGCCTCGAATTAGTTTCGGTAAAGTTTTGCATTTGGAATTTCATTTCATTTACACTTGGCTCACTTTATACATGGACCACAGGACGTATACGCAATGCCGCAAATTTCATTTGAATTTTAATTATTTCAAATTAAGTTTCATTATGCAGAAAGGAATCTAAATAACAAAGAGTTTATCAATCTAATTGAAATTGAAATTGAAATTAAACTCTCTGATTTTATTAGTTGCATTGATTTTCTATTAAATAACTTTTATTTATTATATTTTCTTGAACTATTTTTCAGTGCTACGCTGCAACTAAGAAGGGAACCTCTGACCTGGACATGGATGATCTTGATGACTTGGATCAGGTCACCCAGGTGATTGGCTATCATCCCCAATTCCATGATCACTTTCTACGCACCCAAAACTTTATAATGAAAGGCGATGGCCCTTTGCCGAATGATTACCGCTACTATTTGGCCATAATTGTAAGTAAAATTATAACTATATCTTCAAATTGAATAATAAATGAGATAGCAATTAATTGCAATTGTTTTGTTTGTTTTTTAAAACAATAGCCAGTAATTATAAAGCAATTGTGAGTGGCAAGAGACTGTACTGAATGCTGCTCACGTTCCCAAGTCTAGGATGCACTTCCTCCTGACTTAAATCCTTTTCGATTTCGTTGTGCATTGTCCTGGAGTAGTGGAAACATTGAAACAAATTAGGTTTCAGCAAAAGTCACCGTGTAACCTGTCCTCTTTGGTTGCCATATCAACAATAAGCACATTTGCTGCCGTGAATGCTACATAGAGTGTCCTTCAATAAGGATTTTATGAAAATAAAATCGCACAAAATGTCAGCTTCGATTTTCAGTTAGAATTTCAATTACCTTTCAGTTACATTGAATGGTGACACTTTTGTGAGGATGCAACATAAATGCCATTTGATGGCTGCATTTCTACATATTTCTCTATTCAGACAATAAAAAAGAAGTGAATTGTTTAGACTTTATTTGTGAGAAAAATGCTGTTTTAAAAGAGGCTTAAAAACAGCTTAAAAACAGTCAGTAAAATGGGGGTTCTTTAAGTTATTGTGGTGAAGAACTATATACACTCTAATCAATATATTCATTAGGTAATGATACTAAAAGTGTTATTAATAGATTCCCTGCAGGTTTATTGCTCATCTCTCGCTGCTTCAAGTCATTTCCAATCATAATTAAGATCTATCAAGTATTAATTCAGGAAACGAAAATGCGTAATTAAAATTGATTTATGATTTCAATTAAATGCAGACTGCAATTGAGAGATTCCAAAAAGATGCAAAAGAAACCATAAATCAAATATTTCCCAACATTTACAATTGCTTTTAATGCCTTATTTTTCTTTCTTGTTTTTTTACTTGGCTTCTTGGCCATAATTTATTGCCCTAGATGTGCGTGTGCAATAATCGTAAACTCAATAAAGCACAACGCATATATATAGTATATATATATAGTTGACATGTCGGTCATTTCATTTCATCCTTCCCCCAAAAATAATAATAATAATAAACACATTCTATTAACTCATGCCAACAAATTGGGCACAATTTGCGCTTTCCACGCAAAAAGATTGAGATGCTTGTTTTTTTTCATTCCTTAACGTTCTTGGTGGGAAAATGCATTGCCTTTGTCTGGCTGAGAGATTTTTTGGGCCTCGACGAATGTAAAATTATTTAAGATTTACGATGGCATGTCAGGGCATGAGGCCTGCCTGCCCAAGACTCATTAATGACAAACAACAAAATAATATGAAAAAATTCAACAAAAAGCTAAAGCAAAACAAACAATGGGCTTTGCTTTGCTTTGCTTTGCTTTTGCTCTGAATGCCCGAGTGTTTGTTGTTTTGGGTCACGATCGAAATAAGTTTCCACACATATTTTTAGCACACATTCAGAGTCTCTTTCTCCTGCGCCCTGGGAGATTTGTGGGTCAGATTCTCAGTTTCTCTAAATCTTGTTTTCCCTCCGATTTGATGATGATGACACGTTTTGCGGGGGTTGAGGGCCAAGGTTGGGTCTCGAGCAAAGAGAAGATCAAAACAAGTTACGTAATGCCTAGAAAAATGCTACCTGAAAAGAAGGTATCATCTTTCAGTGCAATAAAAAGTAATAAGTAAACAAAAAACTGGGCATAACTTGAGCTTTAAATCTTTAGACATTTTTGTATGAAGTTAGAGAGTTTAAGATCTTCTTAAGACTTTAATTAATAACATTATCTAACTCTCTCTTATATTATCTTCCAGGCTGCTGCTCGTCATCAGTGTCCTTATCTGGTGAAGCGCTATGAGAAGGAGTTCATTAACCAAGGTGGAGACAGCTCCTGGCTGGGCGGCCTGGACTTTATACCCGCCAAACTACGTGCCATATACGATATCAATAAAATATTAGCCCATCGTCCCTGGCTGTTGCGCAAGGAGCACATTGAGGTTGGTTATTTCCTTTTCGCTATCACAATTGCAACTTTAATGGATCCTTTTCCGCTTCCTGTTTTGCAGCGCCTGACCAAGGGGAAGAACAGTTGGTCCCTGTCGGAGGTGGTGCATGCCATGGTCCTGCTCTCGCACTTCCATTCGCTCTCCTCATTCGTCTTCTCCTGCGGGCTCACACAAAAGCTGGACAGCCTGTCTAGTCCCAAACTGAAGAGTCCACCCGTTTTGGTTGGAGGAGGTGGTGCCACTGCTGCTACCAATGAGCCGGCCAACACACCAATGGAAACCCAAAAAACGGTGCTGGCCGAAATATCGCTTAACAATGCAAAGCCGGATTACAATAGCCCCACCGCAGGGAGTAACAATGGGGTTGGAGGCGGAGTTGCAGGAGGAATGGGAATGGGTCAGGAGCAGGACATGGCATTACCAATGCCAATGCCAGTGCAGATGCAGCTGGTGCTGCGGCTCTCAATGGATATTTGGGTAAGTGAATCACTGTCTACTACATTACATGTGCATTTCATACACTGGAAAATCTAATAAATAGAAGCTTCAAGAATATATATACATATACAAATGTATCCATCTAAAGATATATTTAGTAGTGACTTTAATTAGTCTTCCTACTTATCCAAATGCATTGATAAGTCAGGTAATTGAGGTCGAAGGGTAATCACTATCACTATCACTACACCTATCACCGGAGATGTTAACAGCGGGGAAGCCGCGGACCGTATGAGGGGAGCGCCACAGCAGTGCCTCTATTTATACTTCCCGAGGAAGAGAGCAGAGAAAGTGAGAGCGAGAGAGCAAAGTCTTTCTCTGGAGAAGCTTTCTCTAGAGAAGCTTTCTCTAGAGATGCTTGGTCTAGAGATGCACAGAGAGAGAGAGAAAGAGCGAGGGTTTTGCATATTTCTGTGCATTTAACGATTGTTCCTATGTCAGCTATATGATATAGTCGTTCGATCCTAATTAAAACCGAAATGAAAAAATAATAAAGAATAATTTAACCCTAACTTAGATGCAAATATAATGAAAACTGGGAACGTTATAATTGATTTTCAAAACCTTTTCCGATTGTTCCTAAGGCAGCTATATATGATATATATAGAATATATATAAATGACTTCTTCTCCTCTCCATTGTGAACCAAGAATTTCTTGACATGACTTTTGTGCCTGTAAATCCCGACTCCTCATTTGTTAATCGAACTTCAACAATTAATATTCCTTTTATAGCCACCGCCCAGCAGTTGCCGCAGCAACATGGCATCAGTGTGGAGACGCTAATGGAACGCATGAAGGTATTGTCCCAGAAACAGGACGAGTGCAGCGAGGCCGAGCTGAGCAGCCGCTTCCAGAAGGTGGAGCAGCAGAATGCCGAGCTGCCGGCCGTGGCCCCAGAGGTGGTCGTTGCCCTGCCAACGAATCTTTCGCATTACGTGGACGATGCCGGTTTCATTTACCAGGACTTTGCCCGACGCGGCACCGAAAACATCAACACGTTTCGCATTCAGGACTACTCGTGGGAGGATCACGGTTACTCGCTGGTGGATGGGTAAGTACGAGGAGGAGCAGGACCTCATTGTTTATTGAGGGAGAACTCCTCTTATGCCCCGACAGGCTCTACAACGATGTGGGCACCTATTTGGATGAGAAATTTCGTGCTGCCTACAATCTCACCTATTGCACCATGGGCGGCATCAAGAATGTGGACACATCCAAGTTTCGCCGGGCCATTTGGAACTATATACAGTGCATCTATGGCATACGACACGATGATTACGACTATGGTGAAGTTAATCAGGTAGGATTTAACCTCTTTAAACCTCTTTAAGAATTCTATTATTATTCCTCTTGTCTGGCAGCTCCTTGTGCGCCTTTGAAGATGTTTATTAAGACAGCCTGCTGCTTTCCGGAGCGTATTACCACCAAGGATTATGATAGTGTGCTTGTCGAGCTGCAGGACAGTGAAAAGGTAAGGGAAAAGGAATTTTCCACACTCCCACACTCCCTCGCTGTGTCTGTTTTGTTTATATTTTTATCCATTAATCGTTGGTATTATCTCCCTGATATAGGTTCATGTGAATCTAATGATAATGGAAGCCCGTAATCAGGCCGAGTTACTCTATGCTCTGCGCGAGATAATGCGCTATATGACTTGATCTCATTAAGTGAATAAACACATACGTATATATTACACCTCCCCAAAAACCCACACACACCCACCCACACATTACACACACATATACATGCATAAAACATTTTGTTATTTTGAGAGCGCATCAGAAACAGCGAAAAGAACGGAAACGGAAATCAGAAACATTTTTAATGAAATACCCGATTTGTGCAGTAAGATAAATAAATGTTGCTTTCTCGGTATAACATAATAGAAGCATGCTTTAATCCCACATAGACAGCCAAGTTTAAATATATCGGTGTGAATTCAATTAATGTGAAACGTTTTTACTATTCAATTAAACAATAGTCTGTGTCTATGGTTAGCCAACAATTTAAATTAAATACGTAAACAATACACACACACACAGAAGGAGAAAAATTTATTTGTAAAAGTGTAAGCTGAGCTCTGTCTGTTTCTTTTCGTGAATGTGCAAGCAATAATCACTGTACATATGTATTATGTTTTGTTTAATTATTTTAGCGAAATAAATACAATTTTTATTTTAATTACTCGTCTTTTGTTTCATTCCTACCTCGATTTCCGTTATTATACAGCTAACAAGAAAAACCACAGGTGATTCGAATCTTTGAGCTTTTCCTACACAGAGATAATAAATATATATATACGAGTAAATGTCTATTTTGATAGTATTTAAAGGAATATAATCAATGACTGTAATGTTCGCATAGCATACTAAGAGGTTTTAAGCATTCAATGTTCAATATAGTAAATGTAATATCCATTTTGGATAATAATTAACCGAGCATATAATATATACAAAACTGAAACTAGGAATTTAATCGAAAGCATACGAATTTAAAACTTTAAAATTAACTCTTAGTATAAAGAAAAGTGGTTCCTCTAAGGACTGAAAAGCTACTACAACATATTTAAGCTAAGACTCTGTGCATTAAATAAGGAATATATTTTACACATCTTTATGTTTTAAGTTTCCATTAAGTTCTGTAACATTGTTTATTAGCAATTAAATTTAGGCGTAATTAATTTAAATTATTATTTTAGTCAGAAGCTTGAAACGCATTGAATGAGTCATTTCTGACCCTATAAATCATATATATTCTTGATCAGCATCAACAGCCGAATCGATCTAGCTATTTTCGGCCAAAATTTAATTTTTTCAAGATTTTCGAAATTTTATAAAGGTTACATCGTTCAAATTATCAAAAATTGGTCAAAAAATTTTAATTTTTATCGATTTCCGTTTCAATCGTATAATTTAATTGCTTTTTAACTGGAAATACTTATCTTTTTATATTTATAACAAACACATGGCGTATACTTAATTTAAGGTTTTCTCGTTAAGTATACGCCATGAATGCTAGATGTCTGTTAAATCAAAAACTATTTTTATCTATATATATATTATTATATTTTTATGCGATTTATTAACCTAAGAAAAACTAGCATAGGAATGATTTCCGAATTGAAATCAAGGCATTTTTGACAAAGTTATGATCGATTTGATTGATTCCAAGGGTATAGAAACGTCTGTTTTCTGAAGGTAGCTTCTTTTCTTTATTTACCAATAATATCAAATAAGTTCAAGTTAATTCAATTTTTTTATATCAAAAAATTTAGTTCAAATATTATGTATATATCATATCAGATTTTATCGCAATTAACGGCATCTCTTCTGCTTGCTCACTTTCTACATTTTAAAAGAAGGAAAATCTATCACTTTGATAAAGAAATAACAAAAACAGAAATCAATTGTTTCAATATGTACCTATTATGCATTTATGTATTGTTGACGTTTTTGTCGCGACATTGTCGAGAGCTGCAGGTTTCGCATGAAATCCAAACGAACTAATTAAGCATAAATATATACAAACTAGTTTAATAAGGGATTTCCTTCAATTTAAATGAATTCTATATTGAATATATTTTTAAAATGCTTGAAATTCGTGTTTAGTTATTTGTAAATTTATCCGAAACACACACACATCCGCGCTCACGGTTTTTAATTACGTAGAGCTTAAGCATTAGTGAAATAAGTTCAAAACTGGAGAGAAAAGTCATGAAAAACAGTTTGTTTCTCGATTAAAACTAGGTACTAAGTACAATTTAAATGCTTCATGCAAACTACAATTGTTCACAGAGGCCAATCAAGCGAGTTAGATTCAATTGTACATAAAAACTAACGAGCTGTGGCGATTCAAAGATGTGATTTTACCGAATATATATACACGCACATGTATTCCTTTGCATATAACCAAGTACATAGAACAACGTATATATATTTGGCGCTAGACATACTGCTTTACTGGAATTTAATTTTAAATTACAAATATTTAATATTAAAATAATTCGCATGCATGCATTGGAACGTTGAGTGCAACTTGAAGGTGAAAACATACGTATTTAGAGGTTTATTTCAATTAACAATAGCTCCACAAAATGGCTGTGTAAATATGGCAAAAGATAAACGAATTTAAAAGGGAGTGTATGGATAAGGAAAAAGGCAATGCAATTGCAAAGGAAAAGGAAAACGAAAATGGAAAAGTACTGGCGAAAAGCCTACTTAAAATGTTGAGTAAATTTTGGTAGAATTAAGTAAGATTTTGATCATCTTTTTAGTCTGTAAAAAATAAACAGAAATTGTGACTTTGGAAATTAAAGTAAACATAATTGTATCCGTCGAATTTTTGATGTCTAACATAATCGAGATTTTAAAAAAATAAAGGAAGAGAACCTATATCCAATTTTGGTTGATCACGAAAATCAACCAAGAGGAGCACCATTTAAAAATCCAAAAAGATTGACAAATAAATTATTAAATTAGATTTGAAAATGGTGAACGAAATATATACACTTAAATATCTAAAGTAAAAATAATATTTACTAATAAACAAGACTTGTTCTATGAGATAGATCAGTCTAACTGCGATACCCATGATTCTGACTGCTTTTATGGAGAGCTTAAACTCCTCTTTACACACATACTACACATAAACCCCATAAAATTATCATTATAATCGATGTTTTTAACCTCTTGGTGTTTGGTGTTTAATAAAAAACAAAACCACAAGCAAACAAACGTTGTAAATAATATTGGAATAGGTATATATACACGTTTTATTCAATATATATATATTATAATCGTACCATTTCAGTATTATTTCCATTATTACAATTAATTCTCAGTTACTTAGATTGACTACATAATGGGTTTTCGTTAAGAGTTAAGAATTTGCATTTGGGTTAAACTAAAACTTGAGTTGGATAAAGTTTTATGGTTAAAATACAATAAGTTCACTTCTGATATGGCGCAAAGATATTTTAATTAGGAAACCTCTCTATCATTATTATTTCATTTTGATTTCTATAAAAACCTTGGTCCAATCGGATTATATTATTTATAATTTTAAATTTCGTTTATACAAATCAATGGAAAAGCTACCACAAAATGTAAGTAAACAAAAACATTTGAAATGATTGTTTTGGCGCAGCTCGTTAAAGGTAAATCTTTCGAATTCATCGCCACTCAGCTCGGCGCTGAGGAGTGGGATTCGGTTTGTTGCTTTATATATTATTAAAAAGATCCGATCCGTTAACAATTGCTAAATCATATATTAGTGTTAATACAATGTTCAACATCTAGGCACAAAATATATATTGCTTCTCAATTGATTATGAAAGTTATTGCATGATTGAGGCGGCGCTCAGCCCATTCAAATATAGTCCAAATAATAATAATAATACGTAATATATGTATGTCTGTCTGCGCTTTTTGCTTGTGGTTAGGAATCATCAGTGTTCGAAGCTTGAAATGTCTAAGTGGAAGCCACTCGCTTCGTGGGCGAGCTGCTGCTCAGCAGGGCCGCCTCCTTGGCCCTTTCGTGCTCATCCTGGAAGAAGATCTTGGTGATGACCACATCGCCAGTGCTTAGCGTTTGCGATTCGGCATCCACCAACTTGACCATCCGTTTGTCAGTCGTACGCAGTATAGGGGTCACACTCCTCTCGCCCTGGCAATTGCAGTTGTTTTTGATGCTGTAAAAGTTTAGAAATATAAATAAATAACTTTATATTACTAGGTTAAACTCTTAATATCTCACTTCCTGGACTTTTCCCTTATAATTTGCAGATTTTCGGTGGTCGCAATGCTTGAACCCAGCTGTTCTTGCATCGAATTTGAAGCTATAATCTGTGGGAAAAGCGAAATCATTGTACAATCATCAAATAAGCTATCAAAAACTAATTCACTGACTTGTTCACATGGCAACGAGGTGGCTGTCGTCAGTATGGCCTCCAGCTTATCTATGCGCGCAATGCGATCCATGGACTTGTTTTGGAGTATCTCCTCCAGCATTTGCATGGACTCGGTCAAGCTGGGTGGCTCCGAGCTGAACCTGGGCGAAAAAGTGCCCGACAGCGAGTTGTCTGAAGGAACCGAGTCCAAACTGGGGAATGTGTCATTCTCATTGGGCTCAGCCTCATCCTCGGAATCACTTTGGTCTCTGTTTAAGAGGAAAACGAGATATTTAGTACATTTGTAATAATAAATCGGAAGTATAAACTCACTTGCTGGGATTGCCGGCTGACTCCATTTTCTCAAGCTTTTTGGCCACCTTGTAATAGCCCTTAAGGCGCTCCTTCTCCTCCTCCGTCAGGTCCATGTAGCTATTCATAAATTTGTATATTAATTAAAGAATTTATTTAGGGTTTAATGACTTACCGCAACAGTCGTATCTCCCTATTGGAAAGCACAATGCTCTTGCTGGTCTGCGCCAACTTCTGCTTGAGATCGGACACCTCGGTGCTGACCTTGCGCTGCTTCTTGCGTATCTTCACCTCGTTGGGCTTGATCTGCATGAGTATTTGCTCGGTGCACAGCTCCGAGAAGAGTTGCCGGTTTCTGGCTTAATCTGTCTCGCCAGATTACCAAATAACTGATCATGGATGAGGACCAGAACATCTCCTGCTGCGTACAACATCATTTCACGCGTTAGTGGTCGCTTGGCCCAGAACTTTTGATCCCTTCGATAGATTTGCTTCAGCTGATCCTTGATGGGATTGCATGGAGCATTATATTGCTCGCATAGCGAGTTGAGCGATATGTATTTGGCCTTGTACACCTGCTTGCCGCTCTCCTGGTACTGCAGTATCGCATGAGCGGCCTGTGTGTCAAACACATTGCGCAGCAGGATACCAAATTGCAGATACAAATTGGCAGCATCATTACGGCAATCGTGAATCACCTTGATCACCTGATCGTGCTCCAGCACGGTCTTAAGTCCACCATCGGTGACCATGGCCGGACAGGATTGAACATCGAAAAGGAAGGCCTCTCCCCGTCCTGTGCCTATCTCAATGAGAGTAATCTCTCCCTTGAGGCCGAGATTGATGCCCTCGCAGTCCAGGGAGACAACTATATTCTCATTTTTGGCCGCATACTTGAGTATGATGTCGGTCACAAACACCGATTGCTTGACATTCGCTATCACTGTGGTGTTCTGCAGGACCTTAATCTTCCAGGTGTCGCCGACAAAGTAGCTATGACTAGGTGAGTGATTGTTGGCATTGTTTGGATTTGAATTTGAATTTGAATTCGAGTTGGAGTTGGAGTTGCTATTGACATTTTGGTTCAAACTCGTTGTTGTCGTTGAATTGGCAATGGAATGCACGGGACTGGAGCCACCGCCCTGCTGCTGATTGGCCAAGGATTGCTTGTCCTTCTCCAGATTCTCCGCCAGGGTTCGTATAACCAAGGTGTTGATGCGTTGCTTTAGGGTTTGATTCACGCTATTCATACGCTGCTCTGAGGGATTCGGGGCTGACGAAGGCTGTGGTAGGAGTGGCTGTTGCTGCGACTGTTGTGAAGAGGTATTAATGGCCCCGTAGCTGGTATTCGCACTGGGATAATTGTTCTCGCACAAATTCTCCAACTTCAACTCCGACATGGGCACATAGCTATCAAATCCAGAACTGGGCTCCGACTTGGGTTGGCCAAAACCACCGGGGCTCTGCGTCTGACCCATCACATTGGAAACGGGTGCATTCAGCTTAAAGTTGGGTGAAGCTATGCTATTGTTATTATTATTATTGTTGCCATTGCTTCCATTATTATTGTTGTTCGTGTGACCATTACTCCGCAGCGCCGGCGATTGCAATCTCTGCTGCACGGCACTGATAGGAGCTCCTCCTCCACTTGATTCCTGCCTCCGATTGCTGGCGGCATCATTATTGTTATTCAGCGCATTGAACTGCTCCCGGGTCTGGGCCTGGGCCTGCTGAATGTGCGTGTCACTGAGCTTGGGCTTCTGCAGCAACGTGACTAGATTGGCCTGTATGTGAAAGCAGTCGGCAAAGAGCTTCAAGAACGAGCTCAGATCCCCCGGTGTCTTGAACATGCGCAGCCACTGATCCTGCGGGAAATTGGTGGTCAGCAAATGGAACAGTTGATCCACCAACAGTGGTCCCTTGATCTCAATGCATTGGGCAAAGAAATCGAGCATTTGCTGCGTTCCACGAGTATCAATGTTGGATTGCGGCAAATGTAGGCGATCCCGCGCCGGCAGATCCGTCATATTCTCGCATCCCACCAGCATCACATAGTCATCCATCACCTTAAAGGTGTCGGTGTGCTTCATCAGGAAGTCGGTGAACTCCTTAATGTGCTGACCTGTTTGGATAAACAAAAGAACAGTCATAATAGAGGGTTCTTCTGCTGGGAGTTTAAAGTCTGAAACTTGTACTTACCTGATATGTGTCGTACTTGGGGCGATGCCTGCGACCTGTGACCCAGGAGACTCCTTACTGGCACCTCTGCCGCTGCTCCATACTGCAGCATCTTATTCTTGAAATAGTCTTTAGCCTCTTGGATGTAATCCCGCTTCCCGCCGCAACCCCCCTCGTCCGCATTGCTGTGCTGATAGGCATTCACCTGCACATAATCACCGTCGACCAGAAATATTGATGGGTATTGGGCGAGAAATTTCTTCAGACCTGTCAACCGAAGCAAAGGATGTCAATTACAATTAGGATGAGCCATTAGCTGATGGTGAGTGCCGGTGCCGGTGCCGGTGAGTGGTTAATGCACTAAAACTGTTGCACCACAAATCTAATTAATTTCTGCCCTTTTAATGTGTCACAACTTGTGGAAATTGCTCCAAGACTAAGTACTTATTGTGGTTGATTCATTCACTGGATAGTTTTTCCTCCATATATGTATGTACAGATGGTGTAGTTGCTTCCAAGTCTTGTGAAAACTTTTCCCTGACTTTTCTTTATCAGCGGGCAACATGTGCCTGGTTTCCCATAATTAACAAACAACATTGTTTAATCGCATAACCATCAAATGACGACGAGCTTACATTCATCCGAATGTGCATACTTCCATCTCCATATGAATGAATGAATGAATAATCATCATCATGTGTGTAGATGTGGTGTGTGTTGTTTGTTGTATGTTGTTTCCAGTTTCAATGTTTGTTGTTGATTTGGTTTTGTAAAGTTGGCAAAAACTTTCTGGATTCAATGTTGGCTTACAATTACATAAAATGAGAGGGGAATTTTCAAGGATTTACACTATGTGTGTGCACTGGGAGATATGGATGTGGAAATGGGGTTTTTATAAACATTTCTTAATTTTTATATTTAGACATGAACGCAGTCATGTTTTAGAATAATATAAATTATAATAAATTCAAGATTTTTATTAAATCTTGTGAACTTTTTTCTCTTTATCAGTGATAAGAGATAGAGTTCAATTTTAAAAGCAAAATAAGAGTCCAAGATTCTTATTTTATTTGGGAAAGAATAGCTAAACTCTTTATTATATGACAAGATAATAGTAATTACCATAAAAATAACCATTCCACTTTGAAAAATGTATAGATTTAGCTATAGAAGACAGTTAGAGAGCACTGATGATGTACTTTAGTCTCAAGGTATAGTGTTTGAAAACCTTTACCAAAGCCACAAGAAAATGTATGTGACAACAGAGGTAAGGCAGAGAAATTTGCTAATAGGGACATGTTGAATCTTTGACATAAGGTTAAGATTTCAACGAATGTGGATATGTTTTTATAAAATTTATACGGCTTATAACTTATAAATTGTATAAACCGTATAAGGATTTAAAGTTCTATAAGGTCTATAAGGTCTACAAGTTCTATAAGTTCTATAAGTTCTATATGTTCTATAAGTTCTATAAGGTCTATAAGTTCTATAAGGCCTATAAGACCTATAAGGTCTATAAGACTTATGAGGTCTATAAGGTCATTAAGAACTATAAGTCTATGAAGTCTATAAGATCTATAAGGTCTATAAGGTCTATAAGGTCTATACGGTCTATACGGTCTATAAGGTCTATAAGGTCTATAAGGCTATAAGTTCTATAAGGTCTATAAGGTCTATAAGTTCTATAAGGTCTATAAAGTTCATACGGTCCATAATCTCTATAAAGATTATAAGATGTATAAGTCCTTCCTTAAAGACCCCGTTCTTATTATTTGCAATCTCTTAAAAGTAAATAGGTTCTATACCTATAAATCTTTATAAACTTATGAAATATAAAAACTTAAGAGTCAAATTTCCTAAATTTCCCTTTAAAATTTCCACCCAGTCAAAAATCTAAATTATATAGAAATAGAATATGTAAATATTTTCCCCAAGTGTCAGCTGCTGTTGTTGCTTTGAAAAGTGAATGCACTCATGCCTTGCAGAGCGACGGAGCGAACTAGCGAACCATTTATTTGATAAATCAGGTCATAGTTGCTGACTGACTGCTGCCATCAGCCCAAAACGGGACACCCGGCGACGGAAGCCAACCCCCGGCATAGCCACATCCACAACCACCATCTCGTATCCACAATTGGTAGGAATGCGATGAGTACTCGACTCCATATGTCTCATTGTATCGGTCTACAAACCCACCCAGAGAGTCTCCTCCATCTATTGTTTGGGTAATATGACGTGACACAGCTCTCGGAGCTCTCGGAGCTCTCGGAGATTGGAGAACTCAAAGGGGATACCGGGTGCTACGTTGCGTGTCAACCGAGGTAGACACAAATTTTGAGCTTCATAATGCCCGGGCATAAATTAATTCAATTGCATTTGACATAACTCGGCTGGAAAGTCGCATAAGGAGATGCCAAACATTGATTAATCGAATGCGACTTATGCAAGGTATATACTTTGTATATTGACAATCGGTGAGTGTAAGCTCTGGATAAGCATCTCGTTATCCCACTTTCCAGGCTGCCAAATGAGCCACAAAACTGACAAATGGCTAGTAGTAATCCCCAACGATTCGAAACAAGGAAGAAAAAAAGGATAAAAGTCAAATCCTTTCGAGCGTAATTCAATTTTATGTTTACTTAGAGAAATTGAAATTTGTGAAACGTAAGGGGGTCACAAACTGACGCCCACAAATCGAAGTTCATAACATTTCAATATTAATATTTATCGAAGGCGCTACGAATATGTAATGTTAGCCGCAAATATTACGAACCGAGCCAATATTTGTCTGTGTGCCTAGCCGCATTTCTTGGCAAGCAAACACTTTTTTTTGGCTACACCTTTCCACCCCTCTCGAGAGCACAGGTGTTTGTGTTGGCCACATTTTACGGCTCGACCCACTTGGACACATTTTTGTTTCTTTTTTTGTACTTTACTTTCCTTGCGGTGGCAATTTTCAAAATGCACCGAGGACACTTGCCATAAATTTATGTATATTTATGCCTCTTCGCTTATTGAAGAAAACGAAAACCGAAACTGAAAACATTTCCCCGAGATGTTGTGAATCGAAATGTAAGTGAATACGAATGAATACTTGGGGTAAAGGGTTATGTTTGGTCATAAACTGAGGATTTTATGACTCTCAAAGGGAAGACTTTTGAGGCTACTTTAAGTTAAGGAAGCTGCAAATTCCTTGCCTTCATTATAGACTCATTAGTTGCTCAACCCCTGGGGATTGAGCGTCTCCAAAATGCTTTACAAATCAATTAGAAACAAGTGGCACAAGGTTATGAAAATATTAACACTGACTGACTGCTTTTTAAAAAGTACTTGAAGTAATTAAATAACTTGTGAGTCAGTCATGGGAATGCAGGGTAAACATATTAAAGAGGCTATAGAATATGTGATTAAAGCCTTTTGGTTGGAATCAACTAAGTTATGATTATATATTTCATTATATACAGTTCTTAAGCTTCAAATGCCTTTAAGCCCTGCTCTTTCTCAGCTACAAAGGGGAAATATCCCCAGATCCTTGAGTTCTTTATTCCTTCCCTCATTTTTAACCTCTCAACTCTCCCCTTAAAGACATCCTGTCACAAAATTCCCAATCAATTAACAACAAATGCCGCCAAGTTCTACAAATAATGGTATGGCAAATTTCCTAGCAAGCTAAAATTAAATGTTTCTTTCGCCTTTTGCAATTAATGTCAAAAATCAATGCGAGAACTCACTCCAACTTACCCTTCTTCAAAGGAGAAAAACCTTAAGTAAAGCATAAAAACCTTGGTTGAACAACACACGCAATGCCTGGGAAATGGGAAATATGCCTTGGCAGTCGAGGGTTAAGCAGGAACACCGGCTGGCAGGAAGGCGTTAAAGGATTTCCTTACAGTCGACAGTAAAATCGTTAAATTTACGACAATGTCAGGGAATTGGAAATGCGTGTCGGAAATGCAGAAGGGGCTGTTACAGAATGAATTTGCTTTTTCCCAGCTGACAGATCGATCAGCTAATCATTTGCAGACAAGTCAATATATATACAAACATATATTTTTATATGACTTTGACAGTTTTTGCCAGTTTGCTTTTGGCAATCGATTACGCAAAGAGAAAAAATAATATAAACTAAACACACACTGTGAATATAAACAGTTGCGAACCTTAACTAAAAAAGGCCCGGCTGTTGTTATTATTTTTCTATTTGTTGCTATTTTGTGTGTTGGCAATTATTTAAAGCCCGCTGGCAACAGAAAATGGCAAAACCGATAAAGGGGTCTAAATGGTGGTCGTGTTTGTTTTGTCAGTTAAATTGGCAACGAAATTTAAGTTAACCACAAACGAGGGCACCACACACTCTTTAAACTAATAGTCATAGGTTTTTTTTGGCCAGCATTTAGCCTGTTCTAGAAAATGACTCTTGGCGTTAATTTTCCTAAAAATGGTTCAAGAACCCTCATCAATCGCTGGGGAATATGCAAACACACACTCCACCACTCACCTCCATTTATTATTGAAGCAACAAATGGATATGGTAGTCGAGTCTCTAGAATATCATGCCATTTTTATTGAAATTCAATTGAACATTTTTGTCACGTAATCGACACTTTTCTATTACAAAGTTTCCGCCCGAAACCCAAACCCAAACACAAGCCCTTACCATTATTCCCCTTTCTCCCTTTTTTGGCCAAACAAACCACATAATAATGGTCGGCATCGATGGGTTTATTGTGGGCGGCATTCGCCAGGGTATAAACGCCATCATCCCAACGGCTTTAACGCTTTATAAGTTGAGCAAACAACACGTTGACAAAAACTGAAGCAGCATAAAATATGCTTATAGGATTTTGGGTCACCAGGGGAGTTAGCCCAAAGGGGTTTTGACCACTAAGCCTTATCACCATCACCTACGTCTATACTAGATTGTGGCTAACCATATCTAACCGGGCGTATCTGACGCTTTTCTATTTATAAATCCTTACCTTGACATTCCCCATTAATATATTCCCAATCCCAACTGTGATTTGCGTGTCAGCCGCATATTTCCCCAGGAACTTCTACTAAACTCTGACTATTGCGTTCTTCGCGAAAAAACTAAAACTAAAACTAAAACTAAAACTAAACCTTACTCTTTAAGTCATCGATTAAAACTGTTTTAGTGCAGAGTTTACTTGGTAAATGTTGTGCTCAGTTGAAGTTATAAACAATTTGTTTTGGTGGCACAGTCACAGTCACGCACATGTGGGAAAATCGACAAAATTGCGATAAACATTTTGTTAAATGTTTATTTTCTTGTTGCAATTAGTGCAATCACAGAGTGTGGAAAACAAAAGGAATAATTGCAATTAAATGTGGGGGTGCACCATGTGACAAAGAAAGAATATAGAGGAAATTTCGAGTATGGAAGTTATATAATATAACTGCCAAAAAAATGGTTGTTAAATGTAGAGGATCAGTAAGTATCTTTCAACACTTAGTTACTATGAATAGTAAGTAACAATGATCAGTAATTAACTATGAACAGTGAGTAACTATGATCAGTAAGTAACTATGATCAGTAAGTAACTATGATCAAGAGTATCAATGAACATTAAGTAACTATATAAGTAACTATGTTCAGTAAATACAAACTATAATCCGTAAGTAACTATGATCAGTAAGTATCTATGAGCAGTAAGTATCTATGACCAGTAACTATAATCAGTAAGTATCTATGACCAGGAAGTATGTATCATCAGTTACTAACTTTGAACACTAATAAACAATGACTTGCAACTTTTGTAAGACAACACATTTCTGATACTTGGCCAGCAGCAGTCACTTCGTTCCGGGGATGTTAGAACAAGTTGGGAATTATATGCACAGATGTGCGAGATTTGTTTTGGAGCAAATTTAGGAGCAATCTATTTGAATGAAACTGTGCAGTTATTCTTCTATATATTTTTACAAGTATATAAATCGGAGCATGCCGAATCGGTGGACTATATATATACATATATATATCTGCCATAGGAACGATCGGAATATTTTAAAGAAAAAATAATATAACTTTTACAGGTTTCAAAAGATTTTCATTATATTTGATAAATAGCCATTATATATTAATATAGAATTTGATGTACAATTTTATAAAAATCGGACTACTATATCATATAGCTGCCATACAAACGATCGTTCTCTATTTACAATTCATCTTAAATTTCTTGATTTGTCTAAAGACAAATTTCCCTTTAAATATTCCCACATAAACAGCCTCTTAAATCTCAAGATCTCAAGATGTATCCCCAAGGAGTTAAATGATTTGCCATTAAGCCCCAGACTCAGACTTGGGCGTTGTAAACAAATGTTTTGCCATTTCCTGTCCCCGCCTTTTCTTTTTTTTTTTTGTTAACTTAAACCTCCCTCCTGCTCCCCCTTCTGCTTCCTCTCCTTTTCCACGCCTGTGAAAGAACATCAAACAAATGTCTTCAGATGTCTGAGAGGCAGAGGTGTCTAAGGGAAAGTGCAATGCACCTTCTCAGCACAGCAAAGCGTTAAGTGGAACCTATTTTTAAAAACCGAAAGTTGTTTGTTGCGGCTATTTTAGTTGTTAGTCGAGTAAACCATGCATTTTGATAAATGGCGCACCATGAAGTTGTTGTCAATGGAAGTGCAACACGTGTATTGTGACGGAGAGAATCTCAAGTTAAAACCAATGTTTTTTATTCCATACATACTAGTTGTAAAATAATACCCATACGATATAGTCAAGGGGAAAAAAGACGGAGGAAGGTACAGAGGAAAAACCAATGAAACCGACAACAACATGTGCATTATCGATTGCAGTTTGGCGTCTGCAATGCAAATGCCATAAACCCTTGGCATGTTTTTGTGGTTTTGGCATTGAGATCAACTACGGGAAGCTGCTGGGAGGGCAGGAAAAAGGCATATAACTGGGCTAGAGAGACTATAGAGTCTCCTCCTCTTCTCCCCCCTCTGGCAATGGCAATGACATGTACACTTGGCCACTCGAAGGCAACAACAACGGCGACAAACGTTCGAATGGCATGGCACAATCATCGACTATGACAAACAATGACGACCCGCAGGTGCACAAATATGTTTGTTCGCATAACCGAACAAGAGTCCAGTGCATGTAGCTTTCCACAAAACACACACACGTTTCCAATTTCCCAGGCTTGGCGACATTTTAAATGAGAGAGAGAAAAAGGTGATTGAATTGGATAGTATGTTCAAATCAATTTCTCCAACTTGGAAATCAATACATGTTGTACGACCAAGTTTAAGGAAAACTTATCAAATGTGTTGAAACTTTAGTTATATTTTTATAGGGGTTATAAGGTATATATTTAAGAAATTCTTGGGTAATATTTGGAGAATTTCATAGGGTTTATATTCATATAATCATATTCATTCTTCAAGACTTTTGATTTATTAACTTTGCTTATATATTAGACAGAGCGAGACTGTATAAAGTCTACAAAGTAGACCCCATATGTCAACTTAGCAGCTTTATCTAATATTTGTTCAGATATTTCTTACAGACGAGATGGGAAATCATACTAAATAACCTATATATCATATCAATCACATAGCCTATATATTTTCAGGGACTATCACTGATAAATGAGGTTTACAAAGACAACGAATACGGATAATCTACGTTTTACTTGCATATTTCTATCAATATTAAGATGTTCAGGTGTGGTTTTTCTTGTTTCTATCAAATAAATATATAATTCTATATACTTTAAAAATTTTCCAAGAAATATTTAACTAATCCTAGTTGAACTCATAATTCGTATAACTTTTCCTTATCGATTATCCCAAAACCACTTTAAAATGATATTTATATGATGGATTGAGTTCTTCAAAGAGGAATGTATGATCTTTCAAGACTCACCCGACTGACTGCCACCGGCGATCTGTCTCATTTCCTTGGTGAACTCCTTATTGCCAAACTGGCAGGATAGATCATGGACAGTGCGAGGTTCTCCCTTATCGAGGAGTCGCTCCAGGAAGAAGAGCAACGTCATGTTGCGTGCCATCTCATACTCCATGGACTCCATGGTGTTCTCAAGTTGCTACCAGCGATATCCACCGGCAATTGCTGTTTGCTAGCTGCTATCTTCTTAATTATTAATCCACGTAAATACGTCACGTCACGTTCACGTTCAGGTAGCGTTGTTGTTTCTTGGCTATCTGCAAAAAAATAAAACAGGGGCAAGAGGAAGACGGTGAGTGTGTGTTTGTGGCAGCGAGGTGAAATGGCCAACACTTATGCAATGCGCCAAGAAAGCTGGCCAAAAGAGCTCAGGCGATGGCGAAAAGCAACAACTAGCAAACCGCAGACACATATTAGTCAGCTGAGTTTCATTTCGTTTCGTTTTGTTTTCGTTTATTTATTTAATACATTTGCACTTTGCTCGGCCTCTTCTCAGTCTCTTCTCAATGTCTCTCTCTCTCTACTATCGCCCCGACACTTGTTTTATGCGAGTGCATTGTATTTGCCGCTCGCCTTGCACTCATTGAACGAATAAAAAAGCGGGGGCCATAAACTGTGTCTTGCATCGTGAATAATTGAAGCGGCCTAGACCACACGGACCACAGACTCAGCCCACACACGTTCGAAGAAGTTTACGTCTCAGGACCTGCGGCTCAAGTGTCCGTATATCCTTGCGGCATATCCTTGCGCGCCGCTCGAGTTCTTGACAACAACTGGCAGCAGGCGGCATGCTGCTCGCGTGCTGCCACCCAAGGCACCAGTATGAGCTTAAGGAAGTCTCGTCGGCTGGCTAAGCTTTCGGATAAGAGTCCCTTATCGACCAGGAATTTAACTCTTACGTGGGCAAAGTAAAAAGGATTGAAACCTTTAGTAGTTACCAAAATATTATGTCTTATTTAAAACAAATATTAATTTAAATAAAAAAATAAAATATTGATAAGTATTAACCATAATATTCTTGAATTAAATGCCTGTTAAAGAAAGAGAAGAAAGAAAGCTTATTCTGAGAAGCCGAAGTTTGTTTACTCTTGCAATTTTCAATTGGATCATGAGATTGAATGGGAAATCGATCATAACTAAGCCAAAAAAGCATTAATTTTAATTCGGAAAGCTGCTCTGTGCTAGTTTTTAATAGGTTAATAAATCTGCATACTCAATTTTACATTTTAAACAATTTAAAATTTTGTCAATTTTAAAAAATTTTAAACCCTTATTTTTTTATAGAAAAAAATATAAAAAATATCGAAAATTTATTTTTCTACCGGATATGGCTAGTTCGATTCGGCTGATGATGCTGATCAAGAATATATATGATTTATAGGGTCGGAAATGACTTCTTCACATCGTTTCAAGCTTCTAACTAAATTTATAATACCATTTTTTCAGTCGATTTTATTTATATTTATATAGACAATTTGTTCAACAAATCAAAGTTTAAATAACTCATAACTAAGCCAAAAATGCATAAATTTTAATTCGGAAAGCTGTTCTGTGCTAGTTTTTAATAGGTTAATAAATCTGCATACTTAATTTAAAATTTTAAGAAATTTAAAATTTTGTCAATTTTTAAAAATTGTAAGCCCTTATTTTTTATTGAAAAAATGGAACAAAATTCGAAAATTTATTTTTCTCCCGGACATTGCTAGTTCGATTCGGCTGATGATGCTGATCAAGAATATATATGATTTATAGGGTCGGATATGACTCCTTCATATCGTTTTAAGCTTCTAACCAAAATTATAATACCATTCCTTAGCCGATTTTAGTTATATTTTTTGTAGGCAATTTGTTCAACAAATCAAAGATTAAAAACCTCATAACTAAGCCAAAAAAGCACTAATTTTAATTCGGAAAGTTGTTCTGAGCTAGTTTTTAAAAGATTAATAAATCTGTATACTCAACTTAAAATTTTAATAAATTTAAAATTTTGTCATTTTTTACAAATTTTAAACCCCTATTTTTTATTGAAAAAAATTGAAAAAATTTCGAAAATTTATTTTTCTACCGGACATACCCAGAAAGATTCGTCTGTTAATGCTGATCAAGAATATATATGATTTATAGGGTCGGAAACGATTGCTTCACTGCATTGCAAGCTTTTTACTAAATTTTAAAAACCCTGAAAGGGTATAAATATAAATTCATGTTTTTATTACACATAAACAATTTTTTAGAGTACATTTGCTATTTTTAACCAAAATTGTATTGTAAATATATTAATTAATATATTAATTATAGTAGGTTTTATAAATATGATTCAAAATTTATAGAATCTTGGATGCTGCAATAGTTTTATAGTAATTACCTGCTGCAAATAATTTTTCTTTTTATTATTATTTGAAGAGTTTGCTATTTCGAAGCTATACTGTCTGTGAACGCGCCAATTGGAATTTGCATGGGATTAGTACCAACAAGACTCTTCTAAGCACAATGGGATTTCGTTGGATATTCAAAAACGAACGGATTTTGGTGGGAAAGAAGCGATCAAAAGTTGGCACCTCCAAAGGGGGCTATAGCATCGGCTATATATAACACATTTTAATTTGTTTGTTGCTGCTTCTTTTGGTTGGCATGTGAAAAGCAGAAAAAAAACTGCCAGCGCTGCAGAACAGGTGATTGACACAGAAAAGTGGATATGTGGAAGTGTAGAAATGTGGATGTGCAGCGGAAATGGAAAATGCCAGAGCTCCCCTGAGAGAGAGAGAGAGTGCAAAAACCCAAAAAGAAAAACAGCTTCTCCATTTAAATTACCAAAACAGAACTTGTCACTCATTAGAATCCAACTTGGAAAGTGGGAATGGAAAGCCAATAAGAACTTTTGTTCTATTGATAAGCTGAGAACCGTTGACAACAAATACATGTATTGGGAACGGTAGTAACAAAAACAAAAACAACAACACATTCCATTCCATTCTTTGTGTGTGTGTGTGTCTCACAGGTAGCACTGCCATGTGTGTCTGTTTCTTTGTATGGGTGGCAAAACAAGAAACTTCACAGACATACCGATAAAAAAAAAGAGTCTTATTAGCTGAAAGAGACGACAATACTCAGCCTGAGGGACAAGTGCATAAAGTGATGAGTAAAAGTAATAAAAACTATGAAAATAATGAAAACAATAAAACGTAGCCCAGCAAAAGAAATAATAATAAAAATCTGCAGAGAAAACGCGCTAAAAATGTAGGGAAAGAAGGCAAGAAAGAGGCTCTCAAAATATGCAAAGCAAGCGGACAGTGAGAAAGAGAGAGAAAGAGCGAAAGAAATGGCGAAGAAAGATCCGTTATAATTACCTGGCAGTTAATCCCTTGTTTTCCTTTCCCTCCCTGTTTGCTTAAGTGCACTTGTAATCTATATTTAATCTTTATTTATTCATAAAAAAAACAACCGACACATACGCGATACAGATCCTCGCGTTGGGGATTTCTCAGCGGCAGCTTCTTTCTGATCAGAGATCGAGGATCTTTCTTTTACTTTATATCTACTGGCTTGGCCTAACCCGCTCTAGTTCGCTCACTCGCGTAATTCAATTAGACATCAATTAATTCACTCGCTTAACATTTTTTCGGCGCAATTAAACCAATACACTTGCAGAAAACTGCGACGAAAGCAGTTAGCTATTTCGTCTTCTTCTTGTTGTTGTTGTTGTTATTATTACACACACACATTCGCGCGCGCGCTGGTCAGGTAGGTTACGTGTGTATGTGTGTGTAGGTTTGTAAGGCACTTTGAAGGCTTGTAAGAAATTGTAAAAACCACTTGTTGCACGGCTCTAAAAAGGCACTTCTCGAAACCCGAGCCCCGATGTCAATGGAATTCCGCCAACTCCGGCTGACGTCGCACGAAACGGTCACAACTGGCACGGTTTTAATTTTTCGTTTCGAGCGATTCGATGATGACAACGCGAACACAAACACAAACGTGGGAATTTGAGCGATGGAATGATGAGCGGGGGTGGCGGGGGCGTTAGTGTGACCATTCGGTTTCTCTTTTATTAAGCTGAAATTCCTGAGAGAAAGGTGAGGATTTTCTATTTCACGGCAGGTGGTCGCACTTTCCATTTTCAAAAAGACTGCTATGTTAATAAGAGAAAAATTCATATTTGTTAACTGATTAAATTGTTTTATACCAATTGGGAATTTAGTCCAATTTTATATACCAATTGAAACCTATTGGGAATTCGTAATCTACTGGTCACACATAATACGTAATAAAATACGTATTACGTAAGGAACGACGTAAGAGCTCACCAAGATTGCTGAATGGATTTTGTATTTCACCGCATCTGGTCATACTGAAATACACAAAACGTAATCGAGCGGCAAAAATTATCGATAATTTTGGAAAAACATTGAATTTGAATTTAAATTTTCCGCCAAAGAACGGCTAAAGTTGCCATAGCAAAACATTAGTTGTTTTCTTTCTTCTGTTGCACTTAGAAACCTGTAAACAAAAGCTTTTATGCCTTTGCTAGTTGAAATGCAGCCTTCAAACATGGATGTTACGGAATTTCTGAACCGCACTGACCGCCGTAATCTAAAGTCTCAAATAGACTTTCAAGTGGCCCAAAAGATGCGTGAATGGTACCAGGATGTGGATAATCGTCGCATGAATTTGAGCTTGCTCCTCCAAACCGAAGCTCTGCAGGAGGATGAGGAAATTGCGGAAATCCTCCAGGAGCAAGCTGATGAGGCGGAACGAAAACGACGCGAATGGATAGAAATGGAGCGTCTTAAGAGAGACCAAGCCGAAAAAGAACTGGTTAAAGTTAAGCAACAGCAAAGGGAGATGTAAGGAGAGCCTCTCAGTTATATTTTTATCTCATAAAACCCTATTTTTGTAGTGAAAACTCAGAGGCCCATTGTCATATGCAAACGAAGGAAATCCTCTTGGAAACCAAACAAGCTCAGCTCCATCAAATCGAGGAAAAGAAGGCTTTGAAACGCCGACAAGCCTGCGTGGAAGTCCTTTGGCAGCGTGTTTGGCAGAGACTGGACGAAAGTCGGGCCCAACAGGAGCAATATGAGCTGAAGCTGAGGAATTTGATTGAGGGGAGATGCCAGGCCCAGAATCTGGATAGAGACAGAGAGCTAAAGACTCAGATGGCCCAAGAAGTGCTTGCCGATCAAAGGGAATGTTCACAAAAGTAAGTTAAAGTTTAATTGAGAAATTTATTATTTATATTCATTTTAAAATCCTATAATTAAGCTTGGAACTTGCCAATGAAATGGATGCCCTAAAAAAGCAACAAGAACTGAAAAAAACAAAGGACAAACGTCGCCAGCAACTCACTGATTTGCAGGATCAAATAAAGCTCAATCTTAAGATTAATGCCAATCGTGCCGAGGTTAATCTTCGGGAGGATCGAGTTTATAACATACTCGAGGATCGACAGATTTACGAGGAGCTTATGCAGAAGCACTGCGCCAGGGTGAGAATGAAATCACCTGTTTCTTATGACGTGTTCTCTTTGTCAACTTTTATTTCCTTTGTCTCTTGCAGGCCCAAAATCGTGATTGGCACCAGAGGTATATGACACATACCGCCGAGGAGCGTGCCGCTCGCCAGGAGCAGGATCGGAGGAGGGAACAGGATTATCTTGGCACTGGGTGTGTGCTCAGCCAGCAGCAGAAGCAACCATATGGCAGGGAAGTGCGTTAAAACCATCGAACACTCATCAGCCGATCGATAGCCGCCTCGCTCTTGTCACGCCTCATATTTGGATACGATATTGCAATTATATTTACAACTCACATAAATCAGGCGATGGCTGGTGATGGTGAGCGATAAGGAAAAGCGTATCACGCACTGGCGGCATAAAGCCGTGATAATGCCCACCATCAACGTCTCCCCATGGAGGCTGCTGTAGCCCGCTTGGCCAGAGGCCAAATATGCAAATATGCGGCACAGTAATACATCTATAAATGAAACATGATTCGAGTTTTGATAATAACTTTAAATGGAAGAGATTCTTAATTAATTCAAGCATTTCATAAAATTTATATACCAAAATAATCTATTTTGGAACATTATTTAATAAATCATTTTTATAAAAGTCTTACAAAAATAAAAAAAAAATGATTAACTACATAATTTACACACCTTCATAGCTATTGTTATTGCTTTAAAAACTTGAAAAGGGATTTGAAATAACTTGAAAAGCTGCTTAAAAGTATGCTACATATTCTGACACTTTACAAAGGTATTTAAGGATACTGAATATACCTAAAAATATTTTCTTTTCGTTTAGATTTCACAGTTTTAATCTTCATTTTAACTGAATAAGTATGTATTTATTAGAGTTTAATTTATAGAAGTTCTGCTGTTGGAACGATTAAACAGCAAAGTGTGGCTGGAGCAGCGACTTTGACAATATTTCTGACACTTGGACAGGACTTGGAACTTGGACCCTGTCCCGTGTAGCATTTATAATTGACCGCTTCCGCCGTTTGTTGCTGCTGTTGCTGCTGCTGCTGCTGTTTTTGCTGCTGTTGCTACTGCTGTTGTTGCTGCTGCTGTTGCTGCTGCTGCTGCTCGTTGTCTCCTCAACTGGTTGGCCGCTAATTAGAGTTGATCGGTGACCATGTCTCCGCCGGCAGCAGCTGCAACTGTTGCACGTCCCATGATGCACTCAAAATGTAAACACACTAAGCGCTGTGTTTATTCAATTAAAAGGAGTGCGGGTAGCAGAGATTGCAGCTAGCAAATTGCCAGAGCAATTTCCATTGCAATGTACTTAGCAATATTGGCCAACAACGGGTCATTTAGTTGAGGATTCTTTAGAGCTGATAAGCAATTTCAGTGGGATTAGGTACCATCAAGGTAATCTGTGCTGATCCCATTCCCGTGGCTCAGTGTTTATTTATAATATTTCCAGGCTCATGTTTACTGTCCAAACAAGGCAGTGAAGGCCAGAAAGGATGCACTGCCGGAAATTGGCTTGTAAATAAAACAAATAGGGTAATATTTACTAGGTTTTGATTTTATTTTATGTATGTCCTAAAATGAATATATTTACAAATGTTCAGAGATGGAAAGAACACCTCAAATAAGAAAATATTTACTTAGTTTTGATTTAGTCCTTTAAAGTGGGCAGTTTTATATGGAAGGTAAATCCTGAAAAGGGTTTTATGAGATGGTATTATCGTTGAAAGATCTCACTTCATAAAATAAAAATATATAAGTATGTTTTATTTTAACTAAGCACTCCAAAAATCTTACCTTATATCATTTTCTTTTATTTTTCAAAGAAAGAATTAGTTTTTTTTTTTGGGTCAAATTATTTCTAGAGGCTCATCAACATTTTTAATAAGATTTGTTGTTTGTTTGTAAAATCAAGTCCCGAGAACAAGTTAATTGGATTTTTGTTGTTTCAAAAAAACATCAACAATATTCGGCCTTAAATTAAGTTCAATTAATCATCAAATGTCTGTCTAGACCTCTGATGATTTCATCTACCCCAAAAGTTGTTCAATTGAAAAGAAAGAAAAGAATGTTGTGATCTTACTTGTTTTTAAAATTCTTCAAGCTACATTGTTTATTTTTTGTTATTTCTAAAAACCTGTTCTCTCACTGCACATTCCCAAAGCATAGCTTAAATGGGAATACATATTCCTGGTCGATCCCTGTCCAGTTGCATAACACGATCCCATGCATCACGCAGTTGCAACATCAGCCGAGCCTGAGAACCCAAGTGAAGCGATGTGGAAAACATGGCAACATCGTCGGCGAGTCCTCAAAGAGGAGGTGTCAAAGTCGTCTCAGGATTGCCTCCTTATCCTCCTGCTGGGACTCCTCCAGGCGTGTCATTAGTATCGAAAAAAAAGGGGTGGCCAGGATTATTTATGTGACACTTATCAGCGTCGTGACAACATTTGCCAAATGTGCCGAGGGAAAATGGAAAATGCATTCAAATGGAAATGTAGCCCAAGAACAAAGCCCGACAACTAGGGAGCAAGGCGGTGCCCAGGTAACGAGTATTTTTCTAATATCCGCATAAATCTGATTCCTATACGACAACGCCTTCTGGCACAAGTTATCCCAGGATCTGCAAAAGATTTATAGATCTACCTTTGGGCACCGAAGCTCGACTCGAAGCCCATTAATAAGCGTTTAAAGCCAAGAGCTAATTGCCAACGCCTACTGGCCCAGGGATAGGAGAGAGAAAAAATAAATATAATAAAAAGAGGTGGGAAAAATCCAAGACAAGACAAGTCCCAGGGAACAAACAATTGTTTATGTGGGCGTCCAGGACATGTCGGGTGGTTCGGTCCACTGCCCTCCTATGGTGCGGTTCCACACGTACATATGTGTAGTCTCTCTTTGGAAAATCGGGACAAAAGGCTGCGGTCACTACGCTGATTGAAATGCCCACGCTGGACCACGTCGTCCTGCAATTGCCAAGACCTCCTGCCAAACGCCCCTCTATTTACTCCCCTCTATATTCCCTTTTTGTGTGTGTAATTTTCTTGGTTGTAATTCTTGCACTTCTTGTTGCAATCGTGCTGTACGTGCCGCACAAATTTAACGCCTAGGTTTTCAGGTATAAATTGTGGCTCTGCCCGCCGGCGGAGAGGCATAAAAATATGTTGCACCAAGGCAACGTCAGCGGTTCTGCATTCTGAACAAGGTGGAGGTGAGGTCTCACAGAGAACCGATTCTATTGTTACCCTGTAAACAAGGGATAATGGTTTAAATAAATAAATAGGTCTTTGATAGACTCATAAAAACTGGTGGGAGAAAATAATTGGAGAAATGAAGCTAATGAATAGAACATCTTATAAATTTCATATTATTATATAATAATAATTAAATAATTATTCCTATATTATTAGCTAGTAAAACTAGAATAATCGTTGACTAACTTACTCATTTGTTTAGATTATTAAATAAAATTACATCATAACTACAAGTGAAATCTATAAACTCCGATAGTTAAAACCCCTTTTAGGTTTAAAAAATATATACACAAATAAATGATAATTAAACAGGAAATGCCTTAAAATAAAATACCAATTTCTATATATATATTTGTTTTATTTAATGTTATAATTGCTTTTAAAACTGAGTCGCAGATAGGAATTTATAGTATCCTTTGTTAATAAATTAATTATAGGATTAAATCAGAATTCAAATCAAAAATTTATCACTTATTTATCAATGTTTTTATATAATAATTTTGTCGATAAATCAAAATTTAAAAATCTCATAACTAAGCCAAAAAAGCATTAATTTTAATTCGGAAAGCAGTCTCATGCAAGTTTTTATTAGACTAAAAAATCTGCATACTCAATTTAAAATTTTAAAAAATCTAAATTTTTATCACTTTTTTCCCTATTTTTTAGCCCTTAAAAAATTGTGAAAAAATTAAAAAATTAAATTTTCTTCCAAAGATCGCTAAATCGATTCGGCTGATGATGCTGATCAATAAAATATATGATTTATGGGGTCGGAAATGATTCCTTCACAAGTTACAAGCTTCTAACTAAAATTATAATACCCTTTAAAGGGTATAACTAGTCATAGTTATGACATTGTAAACAATATATCGAGTTCCTAAGTCCGGGTTTTCCGAATTTCTTTATCGAATGAATCATTAAGAGATTGACCAATATGTATAAAAAACATTTATAAGTCAGATTTCGACAGAAGTTTGGCCTGGTTATAAATTCAGTAGATATCAAGGGTAACTCAAAATGATAAAAAAAAATCGATATAGATTTTTGGAGGCTCGTAATAATGACTGTTAATTATTAGCTGTACGTAAAAAATTGAGAATTCAGGTATATCCCTTCTTTCTCTTATTTAAGGGTATCATGACATTATTTCACCCCCCTTTTACCTTTATTGTTCTGCCAATTTTCATGGCTGAAAATGAATTTCGCGCCTGAAAATTTGCTGGGCAATTTTTATTATCGTTGAAAATTGTTGCCAACCCGCTGGCAATTGTCATAAGGAGTGTGAGACCCCCTTCCCCTCTCCCCTGACTGGTTTTCCCAGTTTATTTATATTTTTTCTGAGAGCATCTGCTTTGGAAAACTTTCCTGCTTTCTTTCTATATTTCCCTATTGGGGATTTCGACATGCCATAAACTTGAAGCCATTGACAGACACGCGTAGAACCCGAGTCTCTTCCCATTTTACGAATAAACCAAATTGACAGCAGATGCGGGCAATTGAGAATTTGGGGGGATAATATTGGGGGGATATCGGCGAATCGGGGGGATTTGGGGGAGAAATGCAATTATGCGATAAAAGCGAAATAAAAAATTGTGTTAATTGTTGAAGAAACACACAAGAAAACAAAATTCCACTCCAGCGAATGACAACGAAAATGTCTTGTTTGCTTTTTCCATATTTTATAGCCGCATCAATCTCTTACCGTGGCCTGAGTGCTGATAGCCGGAATGGTCTTCACTGTACAGTAATAACTTCTCCATGGAATACTCTGACAAAGTGAGTGAGTGGCACTCCTGGCTGTCTCCTCGGTCTTATTGAGTGATGCATCATCATCATCGGCTTTCCTTGACTCCTGTTAGGGATGACAGGAGGTAGTGATATATAGACTTTAAAATTGATACCGATATCTGTTTTAATATATATAAAATATATAATCAAAAAGAGGATAAAAAAATACATTCAATTTTATGATAATACATCTTTATCAATAATTAAACAGATGTATCGGTAAAATAAATATATTTGCTATAAGTCGATATAATATTCTGGAAAATGTCCTGAATATATAAGATTTATGGGATAAATTAGTGTTGAAATATATAATAATATAAATACATGAAAAGGCAGTATCTCAAAGTGAACAATTTTGTTAATATGATATTGAAAGCAACATGATATGATATGATATGATATGATATTATATGATATGATATATGATATGATATGATATAATATGATATGATATGATATGATATGATATGATATGATATGATATGATATGATATTATATGATATGATATGATATGATATGATATGATATGATATGATATGATATGATATGATATGATATGATATGATATGATATGATATGATATGATATGATATGATAACTTATCAAAACTTTTCTCCTCGATATGTGCACATCCCTAACTCCTGTGGATGCCACATATATGATTCCTGTTCATATCTTGCTGAGTGGCCAGGGCAATAAATTCGTTTAATATGCAAATCAAATGCAAATTGATCCGGGATTCAGGAGAGCAGAAGGAGGTGCCGCAGACTAATTAAAAATCACAAATTGGTCTGGTCTCCGACTTTTGAGCCAATTGCTAATTAGCCATAGATCAGAAATCTCTCACTAGACTGGTTTCTGGTCAAGTTTTCCCCCCCAACTACTATATCTAGTTGCAGAGAGACCAAACCCATTTGGCAATAGTTTTGCTTGGCGGTTATTAATCTCTGCTGTCAAGGACATTTCCTTGTGTAATTTGATTTAAATTGCTTGTTTTGTGCACACATAATTTCGTCATTTTTTTATTTTTTTACATACAACCGATCATATCAATAGATTTGTATGGTTACGATCGGTTAAAGCAAACCATTAATCGATGTCTTGGTGGGATTTCAACATATATGTAGGAAAAACTTGATTTAAGCGGGGAGTGTCCTATGCCGGTTATCTGTGGAGATTGTGTGACTTCGAATGTCTGCGATTTTTTTTTATAAAATAAATCTGTGCAAAATTAAAACACATTAAATTGAAAATTTATTAAGTAAAATCTTTCACACATAAGATAAATAGTTACTTATTTGCAGACATGGTCAAAGTTAAAACTAGAATAAAACTGAAAATCAAGTAGACAAGGTAAGACATCTTAAAGCAGGAGCAGTTTGCGGTGGGGTTTCAAGGGGTTTGCAACCCCCTGGAAATTAAGATTCGTCTACCACATAGTAGAGGTCTGCAAAGAAATTTTAATTACAATGAAATAACTTCTATTTAGTAAAAGATGTATATCAATACACACCACAATAATGGCATAGGTAAGACCTATGCCTGATCCTGCCAGGACATCGGACCAATGATGCTTGTAGTCCGAAACTCTACTGAGAGCCGTGTACCAGGCGAACATGAGCAGCAGAAACTGCAACAGGTGACGCAGCATACGGAGGCGACTCCAATGCATTCTACGTTGCAAGTAGATCTGGAAGAGATTTAGTAGTATTATAAAGGTTCTATACATTTTTTTTATTGATTTTCTAAATCAACTTACAGCCATGTAGAGCATGGAGTAACAGGCAAAGCTGGCATGTCCACTGGGAAAGGATAAACGCATATCCTTCAAACGCTTTGAAGTTATATCCATTGCCGCACAGGTAAACTCCTCTATATAACGTCCAGCGTTTATGGGATCGTTGCAGGTACTGCCATCCAACATTACAGGTTGACAGAGCTATAAAAAGGGGTTTTAATTATATTATTATATAAGGAAATTAAATATAAAACAGATTTTAAAAGAAATTAGATTTCAAGGTATGGATATATGTCGAGGGCAGCAGTCCTATACGATAATTCGAAAGGAATATTGTGCTCGAAAATATCTTAAACTTTGATAATTCGAATTTTTAAATCTTAAAACTTTGATATTCTGGAAAGATATCCCAAAATGTTATTAAATTCATTTGGTCTCTTTCTCCTTTAATATTATTAAGCATCAAATATCGTCACAGCACTGATATTTCTATGTTTTCTGACATTCTTAATTTAAATTTTAGCTATAGTTTTCCCAACTCACCGTGTAAAAATGCGGTCTTAGCCTTCCTATAGCATATTTGGCTATATTTGTGGTAAGTTGCTCGACTCCTAAGCCAAAGACAAAAATGCCTATCTTGCGATAGCATTCCAACAGCCAAAAGGGTAACTCCAAGTGGCAAAGATGATAGCCACTGCCTAGTCTGTGTTTCTGGAAAGGACCCTGCAAGCGGATGTCCTGGGCCCTAAAAAACTCCACCAACAGCATCTAAGAATAAGGAATTAATAAAATAATAATAAAAACCATTATAAATAATAAGAAAACTCACCATAGAAGCTGGCAAGGCACCACATATCAAGTATAGCATCCAACTGCGCATGGTAGAGTCCTTGTAAGGATGCCTCAATGAAGAATCATTGCAAAAGAAACCCAATTTAACGGGCTCACCATATAGGGAAAATCCCAGCATAGGCAGACCCACTGGAAAAAAGGGAAAAATAATGAAAAATAAATAGAGTTTTGCATCTTGCACGTGTCCCAGTTCCTAGTCCCTTTGGGTGGCCCAGAAGCCAGAGGCAATGGTGTCCAATTCAAATATAGTATTCTATATAGGCAAGGTCTGCTGATCCAGCCTTAATTGGACTTGTATAAACACCATGATAACCATCACGATGATGGTGTGGAAATGAGTCCACATATAATCAAATGAAAAACGCGATCCCCCTCGCAAACAGAATGCCACACAAATTGAATAAAATAAATCAGAGTCCAACTCGATGCGCGAATAAATAAATATATGTTTATATATATATCTTTTTTTTTGGGAGGGGGCCACAAAGGAACCAAGTACATAAACACTGCTGGAAACATTTTAGTGGCATTTTGGAAAAAAGTTTTTATTTGAAAAAACAAGGGAATATATATACTAAATATATGTTAAACGGAACCCCCTTTGGAGCACACTCTGATCTCTGATGGAATGAGCTCATGACTACATGGTCCAGGCAAGTGCAAGAGTTCAATTGCTGGCCACATGATAACAGATCGTAAAACGTGTGAAAGGTCGAGGGGGAATATTTTTTGATAATACTTCAAAATAATAATTCGAAAGCTTAGAATCCAACTCAAAAGAACTGCGCTTCCATAAACCATGATTTATTTTGGATTTTGATTAGAGACACAAATCTTCATGGTTGAGTGCTTGGGCAATGGGAACATTTTCTTGGGACTTTTTAAATGGGAACAACAAGTTTTCAATTATTTGACTTGAAATGTAAACAAACTGTAGTTTGTTTATTTGGTTGCTGCGTAATTAATTGCTAAGAGAAAATGATTACATATTTTTAAATAAACTCTTAGAGGAATAAGTACATAAAATAAATATATATAATATTTCGGTTCCCCTAAGCTATCCTCTCTTCTGGTTTTTTAACTATTTATTATTTATTTATTTCCTCTGCCTGGTATATTTATAGATTATAGTCATCAAGGGTTTCCAGGTAAACTTCCGTTGGCTTTGGTTAATATTTGCCTTTTGGCCCCTAAAGTCAATAAATTTTGTTTGCTTTATTATTTTGCCAACAACTCAAAGAGTTTCCTTGACCACAAAATGACTGTTTTGAATTTCACCCCACAAACTTGTCAAAGTTATTAAAAAAAGAAACTTAAGTGATTATAAAACCCAAACTTTAATTCGAGGACAAACCCGCAAAAATAACCTAGGTAACAGTTGTGGCATTCCTAGCTTTATATATATATATATATATATATATATATATATATATATTTACCTTAAACTGTTTTTTTTTTAATTACAAAGTTTAAGGTAGATAAATAAATATATAATCTTTTATTAATGCAAAAGTTAAGTGGGGAGTATTATCATAAAACTACAATTATTTATTTTCAAAAACTATTTTATAATTTTATGTTTCGGAAAATGAACTTTCCTAATATTTCAAATAAAATTAAAAATAGACTACTTCTTAGATACAAAATTAGGATTTTTAGGATTATAAATACATAACCCAAAGATCATCGAAGGTAACATTCCTAAACCATTGATGATTTGATATATCTAAATTTAAATATATCATAACTAACCCAAAAAGCCATTAATTTTAAATCGGAAAGCGGGTCTATGTTAGTTTTTATTAAGTTAATAAATCTGTATACTCGATTTAAGATTTTTAAAAATTCAAAATTTTTCCAATTTTTAAAATTTGTCACATCGTTAAAAAATTAAAAAAAAATAAATAAATAAAAAATTTATCAAAAATGTCTAGATCAACCCGCCTTTTAATGCTGATCAAGAATATATATGCTTTATAGGGTCGGAAATGACTCCTTCACTGCGTTTTAATCTCCTGACTAAAACTCTAATACCCTTTACAGTTATAAAAACAACGAAAACTACAAAGTTTTTGAAGGAAATACCACAATTTTAGCTCTATAAATACCCAAACTTAAATCTTAAAGCTATAAAATCTCGATCTATAAGTTAAATCACTTAATAACTCACCGCAACTGAGCAGACACAAATCCATGAGAATTCTTCCGAAGATTTGGCGTGGCCCCCTCAACGGCAACTTTCCATTGGCGGCACTGATAGATCCTCCTCCATGGTTACCCATGGAGCAGCTTCCAACAAATGTCGGCAGTTGCAAGTCCAGTTTGACATTATTGTTGTTGTTGTTGTGATTGGAAGCAGTGGAAGCCGAAGATGCGGCGGCTATAATGCTGGCAGCCGTCGGTGAAGAAGGCTCCTCGCTGCTGCTGCTCTGACTCTCGAATCTCTGGAGCGGAGTTGTGTCACAAACACTACCAGGTCGAAGGCTGCTCATCTTGGAATTGATAAGGGAAATAATCCAGGTTCTTGCTTTTCCCTTTCCTTTCCTTTCCTATTTTCTTTTTTGTTATCGGATCAAGCCCAAAAAGGTGGCTCCTCTATTGGACATTGCACCTGGTGACCACGCGGGTGGTCATCATCCTTATCGCGGGCACACACACACACACACTGAAATTATTTGAATAATCCTCGCGGGGAGTGTTTTATTTTACTTTCTTTATTCAAGGGAATATGTGCTAATGGGCGCTCCCTTCTTGCAGGCACTGTGATAAGGCCACTCTCGATAATGTTGCTGTAAATTACACGGCGTCGGCGTTTTGTGGGCGGTACGCCCAGGTAAAAAAGACCGCTAAACGCTATTGCGCAAAGCGATAAGCGATTTGGTTAAATAAAAATTACTGCTGGCTACGCACAAAGGTAAATATTGAAAACGGCAAGGTAGAGGTGAAAATCTCTGCCATTATTTGGCCTGCACTTTATATTTATGTTTGTTTTATTTTTCGAAGGTGTGCTGTGAGCTATCGTTCTTGCTCCACTTATTTTCGCACTCTTTTTCCGCTTTTCTATTTGTTTCGCATGCGCAGCGACTCTATAGCGAAGATGGTAGCTGGCGAGGCCCGAGGAACGCGGAACGAAAGCCCACCCGGAGATAACGATAACGATTTTCGATCCGCACCGTTCGACGCTGCCCGAAGAATTGAGCATGTCCAAAATATATCCAGCAGGCAGCAGCAACCAAAAACGAAACGAAAACAGCTGCTCGGAGAGAAGAGAGAGAGTAACAGGAGTACCCATTACTATTTAGATCAAGTGGGGTATATTGTGTGTATGACAGGCAGAAAATATTTACTGCATAGTAGGGTAGGGAATTCAAGTCAAATTGATTTGCATGCCTCTTATAACCCAGAAATAATTTATCCAAATTTAAATACAATAAAAAATACATTTTAAACGAAATTAACTTAAATCATAGCATTAAATTACGTTTTATTTCTCGTGTTTGCCTTCATGTACTTTCAATATTAATTTAAATAAAATATTATTTATCTTAAAATCGGTAAGATTTTATTACAATTTAAAATCAGTTAACAAATTATATCAAGGAACTTATATTACATGATTACACGGTATCTCTTTTTCGAATCTTGTAACTAATGTACTTTCTTTTTGTTTTCTTTTTCTCACATACTCTCTTTCTCTCAGCCTGGAAGGAAACGAGTGGAATGAAACGAGCTTTGATCAGCTTTTTATAAGTTATAGTATTTATTTAACGATGATTTTCGTTATTAAAAATATTCAATAAAAATGCAGGGTTACATTAATGAAAAAATTATATATTATTTACATCTCTTGTTTATCTTAAGAAATAAGTTATATTAAAGGCTTATAGAAATTAGGGCTTAAAGTTCTTTAAGTTCCAATCATCGAATAGTACATTTCCATAATTGAAAAGTTCAAATATCATTTTTAATAGTTAATAATTTTCCCCTAAAAATTATACTCCAAAAACGTACCCAAAAGTACCCAATTTTCATGTAAGTACCGAACCCATTTAACCCCATATTTCGTCCTTACATTACCCATTAAGCTTTTCTATTACCCCTATATGTGGTGGGATTGGAACACGACAAGGACCGGTCAAGGCGACCGGTCCTTGTCGTGTTCCAATCCCACCACATACCCTCTACTCATTGAATAGATAACACAGAGAGCGTAAATTCTTCCCTCAAATCGTTCTCAGCGTCGAGTTATAGTATCTGTATCTCTCAGTTATTTTCGTTCATCGGTCGCGTTCGGGTCGATTCCACGTCGCTCCTCCATTCATTGGAATCAAAGTGCGGATCTCGTAATCGACGTATATTATATTATATTATAGCTCTACCTCTATCTGAATCGAAGGAGCAAAACACACTTTGTGCGTGAAATAAAAACAAAGCTAACGATGACGGAGCAAACAAGGGCTGCTGCCTAAACAACCAAAAAGATACTTTCGCAAAAGATACTTTGGCAAAAAGGTAAATTAATTTAAACAAAGAAAGTGTGTTTATGCATCTTGGGCAATTTTATCGATTTGCTTGGCCGGCAAACACACAAAAGTGGCCTCTTGATGGACACATAAACAAAAGTGCGAAAATAGAGGCGGAAAAACTGTGCAAATGTATCTCATAAATAATGCAGGTGGAAAGGGAAATTACGTGGGCGTGTATATTGTTTGGTTTAAAATCGATTTTCCCTAGTACTCTTCCATGGTCAAGGTTTCTGTTCTTGCGGAAATTAATCGCTATCTATTTGGTCCGAAAAATCAGGCCATTGTTTTCCGTGGAAGAAACCCCTCCATCGTCGATACCCAACCGACAGCTTATCAATTATTGAAACGCAAAAGGCCAGAGAAATATCTGAATCGCAACATTTGGCTTTTCATGGTGCTCGAGCTTTATTACCTATATTCCCAGCGATATATTGCCTTTATCGGTGAGAGTTTTCTTCCACTTGGATCTTGGATTTGGCCTACAACAATTCTGGCATCTGGCCAAGTTACAAGAAAATTACGGAGCACAGGTCATAAACATATCCAATATTTAATACTTGGCATTATTTCTGATCCATAAATAAAGAGCCAACTATTATTCTAAGATTTCTGGCTGGCTTTTTTGAATAATCTATATATATTTTCCAATATTTTAATGCGATTTACTGTGATTTTGAAACCTTAAAGTGTGGTTTGAGTTTTGCCAACAAAAATTGTTAAGAAATGAGATCATTTATTAGAATTTGTAATTTAATGAATTGGAGTTAAAAATTAATTAAAGATATACTTAAACAGATACGGATTTCAGACATTGACTATAATTAAAAACCAACTGTGTATCCGAGCTGTTTTTAACAAGATCTTTGTGTATTTTTACTATGCCATAAATCAGAAAACTATTTCTCCATTATTTTGTGGGGATATATATTCCCTATTAATATACATTTGTGGTTTCTTTAAGTTATATTTTAGCTGTAACACTTTTTTAAATATTTCTCAACCCCATTTCCTATACCTTTTCTGCTTTTATTAAAATTCTATTCACACCCCAAAACTCCCAAATGCCATACTTTTTCGATTTTCCAACAAATTTTTCCTCACAATTCATATTGAATTTCGTTGTCAAGCTTGTGTAAATTGTTGGCCAACTTCTGCTGACTGCTGACTGCAGCCAGTTTATGGGAATTTGCCACCAATAATAATTGTTAACAAAGCAAATAAACAAGGGTTTTACATACACCTCCTCACGACGATGGGTTGGTTGAACTTGAGACCACGAGTTGTGCACAGTTTCAGGTGTCAATTTACCTTCCTTTGGGCCGACAAGTTGTCTGCAAGTTGCTTATAATACTTAACGGATTTATTCCCTTTCAAAATATAATTTTGCGTCTCTGGTTTATGGAGGGAAACTTGAAATTTCCATATGCAGAGCAGCAGAGCTGCCCAAAAAAATTCTCGGCATGCACTTGTTGGATTTTTAATGATCCGACCCGGCGCCGGGCTTGTTTATGTAAATTGTGAACCATTTCATTAACCGATATGCATGCATATATGTATATATTTTGTATATTGTTCGGTTTTTAATTATTTTTCCATCTTGAATGACCTTAATTCGCCGCATGCGTCTGGAGATATGTATTCCAGAAATGACAAAAATGCTTGGAGGGGCGACATGGAGGCTGCTCAGCTTGTGGTCGTTGCCCGACGAAAGTTAATCGTTTCAGTCTGAAATTAAAATGATGAGAAGTACTTTTTTGGCTGGGACAGACCTTAAGCTTTATCTGAAAATCAAGAGTTTTATATATAGTATTTGAAGCACTTGTAATCCCAGGCTTAAATGACACATCCTTTGACACCATAAACATGTTTAATTAATGGCTTTGTGGTGTTAAACTAAACGATGCTTTAAAGATTGAGATAAAATGTTAAAAAAAAAACGTATTTACAAGTGAGATAAAATAGGCATATACATATAAATAAGGTATTAAAGGAAGAGGTATTAAAAAGTAAACCCATCCGTTTATAATTTCTTAAAAACTGCTCATTCATACTCTTACTGAAACATTGTGTTTATTCCGTCAATGAAATATTCCAAAATTTTGCCAACTATTTATCATAAATTATTTTGAAGTGAAGCAAAAATATACAAAGCAAAAATTTCATTGTTTAAACTACAAGTTTTTGTTGCCAAGGGCTACAAGCCAAAATAGATTGTTCTAGTTTTGGAGAATTTAATTAAAACAAAAGCCAAATGTTTACCCAAGACAATTTATGGAATTGTAAATTCATTCACACCTTGATTACACATTTCGAAACAAATGCAATGACTAAAGTATTTCGAAATCGCAGAAATTAGTCAATAAATATGGTATCTTTTTTTTAATGGTAGAGTCATATAAAGCACTCCCCCACCTAGATATTTTATCATGCATTTGCGATAAGATAATACTAATATTTGCAGATATAGTAAAAGCAAGATTAATCGTTCATTAATGGGTCAACATGCCCTGCCACATGGCTGACTATTTTTAGCCTGATTAATACGCTTTTTATTTCCGGGAGCTGACAATTAAAAAATAATCTCAAACCAAACAATCTCAAGTGCGTGGAAGCACGCTCTCTTCACTCACAATCCGATAATATCGCTCTTTAATTCTTGTTTTTTAATTAAGACTGCCTGCTGTGTCGTTGTCATTCGTTAAAAAAAAAAAAAAAAAAACAATGGAAAACTCAAGAACATTCATCAGGAGGAAGGTTGTTTTGTAGGAATCTCTGGAGACTAGAGACTTGGGCATAAAATAGCAATCAGGGGAGTCGAGGATCGTCTACTATCTATAAATAGACCGTGGATTGATCGAATGCATTGGCCCGATTGCCTTGGCCTGGCCATAATCGTGAGTGAGCCTCCTTTTCAGTGGCTCTTCTCAGTTCTGGGAGTTCTTTGCTCCTTGGTAGAAATGCCAACATAAATGCCGACTGACGTTTGCCACTTGGCCAGTTATGGTTTTGTCAAATTAAGGCCTTGTTCGGGTCTCAAGGAGGCCAAGACCTGGCCTCTACTTGGTCATTATAACGCCCCATTGATGGCCAAGTTGATTGCACTAAATTATATAAATTTGACAGGAACTAGCAAGAAGGTGGTACTTATTTTGGCATAGATAAGGCTTTTTCAGAGTTTTATAAGTATTCAAGTATTCAAAATAAAAGAATAAAAATAAAATAAATTTTTAACTTAGTTACACAGAAAATATCCTTTCTAGTTAGTTAGTGAAATCATGCAATTTCTCAAAATAACCTAATTTCGCTGAGTTATTTTTAAAACAGGAAACCGTTTTTATAGCTTTTTATTTTTTTTATTAACATTTAGCCATAAATATTTATATTGTACTATTAAATGCTAACAAAACAACATGAAAAGCGAAATATTCAACAATAATTGCGAGGATTTCAAGTCCAGACCGAGACTTTTATTACCTTAACTTGTAAACACTGATAAAAAATTAATTTTCCTCACAGAATTATATATGTATTTATATTTAAATAATTTATTTATTATTTAAAATTTTTTTCAGTGATTTTAATAAATGAAAATTCTAATATTATCTTTATCTTTAAATATAATTAACTCCGATTTTTAGTCAAACTTTTTTAAATATTTCGGACAGATAATGTCCCTGCCAAGAAAACTTGTTGTTCTAGAAGCTAACATTAACAGGGACCCAAGTCCTTGTCAAATTTGTTTCGAATCGAAAAATAAGATTCGAAGCTTAACAGAGCTCTGTTAATCATTTTCGTACAGATAAATTACAGGCGCGTAAGAGTAATTTATCTAGTCTATACTTTTGTTGGTCAGATAGCTACAAATAAAGAATTTTAACTACAAAAACCGGCTCTAAAAGATCTAACTTTTAATATTGTACAGCTTTTATATAGAAAACTTTTATTGAAGAACAAGTTTAAGTGTCAAGAAGAACAAAAATAAAAAATAAAATAAAACTTGAAAGTTTATTGCTCGTTGAAAGTGACACCACTTAACCATTGTTTCAATTCCATTTGAAAGTCAATAAATCACGAGATTCTTCTTCTTCATCTTCAATCTCAGCCATTTACGCACAAGTACGGTAATAAAAAAAAATATGGGGAAAAAAGAGACAATTCATCACACAGCTGTCTTATCACGAGGGAATCCTCAACTTATTACTCATCCCGCGAATCATTCAACTAAATAGCTTTTATTAATTTATCTCCTTTGATGTTCTTCCTCCCATTCGCCCCCAGCAAAAAGAAAAGAAACGACAAAACAACGTAAGCACAAAGAGAGGCTATGACGTAGAGGGAACTTATACGTGGAACCAGATTTACACCTCAACCCGTACAGCTGTACTGCTCGCACTTAAGCTCAAGTTCACTGCCAAGCGTCGCCAGAAAGAGACAGTCCCAAGAGCGAGGAGAGCAAGCCAAAAAAGCTTGCACCGCGTCGAAAAGCTCTTGCACCCAAAACTAAGGCAATCGAAGAGCAATATAAAATAAAATGAGTAACGAATCATCCGTCAGTGAAACAACACCGCTGCGGCGGCCCGAAACCCAAGCGATTGAAAACGTGGCCCAAACGGTTGTTAACAGTTCCAACAATAATAATAATAACTACGGCGATACAGTGGCGGTGCGTTTGCAAGGCGGAGATAGTTCACACCAACAGCAGGAACAGCAGCAGCAGCAGCAACAACAACCTGCTACAGACATGGACACCAACAAGAGAATTCTATGCCGCGTTGGCCTGGATATATTAATATTACTGTGCGGTGAGTAAAGGTTGCCATTTTACACCTGTTCACCTCGTAGCTCAATGCGAAATTTCAATCGCATTGAAGTTATTTACATTATACGCCGCGTGTTTATTGTCTGTCGCAATGTTTATTATTTCTTTTGTGTGCGCCTCTTCCATCCCGCTCGCACCCGGGCTGTTTTTATGTAATTTCCGCCAAAGCTCTGCGGTGGCAAAGCTCGCTCTGTTGCTCTGTCGGGGGTTCCTCTCTTTGATCTGCCTAGGCTCTCTCTTAAAAGAATCTTTTTTTTTTTTGATTAGGATTTGCATAATTTCAAGATTAATTGCTAAAAACAACCTTATCCTATATTCATTTGCTGACTCAAGTTGAATTTGAACATTATATTTACTGATTGGGTAACAAATAGACCTATTGCTTGGCAATTTGTCATAAACAAAGTTTAAAGTTTAAAGCAATAAAATTGTAATAGATACACGAAGAGAAAAGAAAGTTTGTTTTGACTATAATATTATATCTTCTAGAAGCTTGTAACGATGTGAAGGAGTCATTTCCGACCCTATAAATCATATATATTCTTGATCAGCATGAAAAGCCGAGTCGATCTAGCCAATATTTAAAGAAAACTAAATTTTTTAATTTTTTCAAAATTTTATCGTTAAATTATATCGTTAAAATTGCCAAAAAATTTTACGAAGAAAAATTTAATTTTTCAAAATTTTAAAACTAAGTATGCAGATTTGTTAGACCTGGAAAAACTAGCACAGAAAAGTTTTCCGAATTAAATTTAATTAATTTTTGGCTTATTTATGATAAATTGCTCATTCGAACCTATGATTCTAAGCGCTACAAATTTGGCTTCTCAAAGTAAGCTTAATTTCTTGAATAAAATTCGTAAATAATATTCTTTAAAATTCTAAAAATTAAAATGTAATCTTTTTGTTTAAAAAAAATGACAAAACCTTCAAACAAATACTTTTTTCTTCAGGGAAATCAAAGGAAAATCAATATAAAATTACCTATTACCTTACTAGGAGTTACTCCACATCTTTCTTATAATTTCCTTATATTCATTTATCTTTTGCAATACAATAAACACTTATATTTCCTCAGTGTAAAGATGTTTTTGTGACTTTGCCTTGCCTTTGTTTTATTTGCTTAGCAAACAGGAAAAAAATAAAAGCAGTGACAGTTAAATTGTGTCAGGTAAAGGTGGACAACCTGACTGACTGAGTTGCAGTTGGTTCGTGGGAGTTACACAATTCCCAATCAGCGTTTTTTTGTCTTCCTTTTTTAAACTTTATCAGCTATTTTGCTTTGGAAACCACACACAAACAAGTTGAGAAAGCAATGGCAAAATGTTTAAGTATACCTGTACCCCTTTTCCGTGGAAAAACACCTATCTCAAAAGGGGAATAACATTCTAAAGTCAAGATAATTTTGCTCTCAAAATGGGTAATAATCATAAAACTTAATAAATTTGGTATTATTTCATAAGCTGATATCATTAAGCTATATTTAAGGAGTTCTTCAATAGAAGAAGAATCAAAATACCTTAAAAAACCCTAAAAAAGTCGCCACTTTTCAATTCTCTCTTGAAACCAAAGACTTGTAGAATTACTATCCCAATTTTCGATAAGATATTCTTGATTTTTCAACCTTTTATCTTGATTTTTCCCACCCCAAAACATAATCAATGGCTTCCATTGTAGCCTTAACCAGTTTTATGAAAGAATTTCTCGTACAAATTCGATTCTTTATGAAACTTTGCTGATTAGCTACCTTACCTTACCTACCTGAGTCATAAAAAGCACCTACTACCCTACCTTGACATTTTTTGTGGATTTTTGCAATTGGCACTACAACTGAAAAAGCAAACTTGAAATTGTAGCCATATTTGACCAACTGATATAAGTTGCTACCTTAAGTAGATTGAATTTACGGCCTCATTGTTTGTTGTAGTTTACCCAACGGGATATAGGTAACATATATATACTATATACAGATGTTTTTAGCACAGATACATATTTCCTTCCAGCATAAAAGCATGACACATTATTTAAGCTCAGGTAAAGCCATAAGATACTCATTTTTGTTGACTCACCAGGGTGCCTTTAAGATCCAAATACCCAAATGAATCATCCGGGAGAGTTTTATTATTAAGTAAATATATAATATAAGTATGATAAGCTATATAGTAAAGTGAAAGCTATTACAACATACGGGGGTTTAGATTAATAAATAAATCAGGAAACACCACTATCTTATATGAAGAGTTTTGTTTAATCAATATTTAGATTAAAGTACGCAAAAATATATATAAAGATATGAGAGTAATAAGCCTACCTGAAAGTATTCTAATCTAAAACTTGTGCCGTGTGCACATGTCTAGTTCCCATGATTATAAATGGGGGATTTTTTTGGTTCTATTGATTTGTCAACAACCTAAAAAAACGAAAACCCCAAAAGTTCTTTGAATAAATTATAAAATTCAAGACAAAATATCGTTTCAAATAAATTCCAATTAGTTAAATCTTTTACCAAAGATCCAAGAATGCATTTCAAATTCTTGTTTTTAGTGGGTCGAAGATTAGTTTCTGATGCATCTGATGGTCTCCGTCGTCTGTCGTCAACTAATTTTGGGTGTAAATTACTCTTGACGCTAGAAAAACCCTGATAAAGTGATTTTCTTTTGGGGGGAAAATCGACCCAAGACGACGAAGATACCGTGACGAGAGTGTCGGGGAGGCACTTAACCAAACAAATTCTTGGTCTGAACCGCAGTTTGACGTTAATTGAATGCGAACGAGCTGCGGCTGCCTCTCTCCTTCACCTTTCTCCTTGAGTTTTGGGTGCGAAGGTGGAGTCATTAAACCCATAAAAGATATAACTGAAATGCATATCGGGGGTCGTCGTCTTGTTGGGGAAACTACTTCCCCAACTCTTAATGTTTTTCCAAAGCTACTTCAATAATTTATCGAGCGTGATTGCGGGGATGCGTGTTTGGTTTTTGATGGGGCAAGGGGAATTCTTTGTATTCAATTTGACCAAAAAACTAAGTAGAAAGAATAATATTTATGCAGTGCATTTTGGGCATGAGGCAATTGTTGTTGTTGTTTACCTTCCAGCCAACAAATAAACAAGGCCAGAAAATAGATACAGATTCTGAGGTACAAAAACAGATACAGATACAGTTGGAAAAATCGAAAGATATGTGAAGACGAGGCCTCTGCCTGTGGTGATAAATGTTGTTGATTTTTCTGTGTGATTTTTTTTGCCAGAGACAAAAAGTAATGAACATTTAATTGCCAGCAGCTCATGACTCATATGAAACTGTCAGTAAAAAAGGTTCAAACTCCTCTACCTGTGTGACTTTTCTGAGATGCGGGCGATCTGGGAAAATTCCGGGTAACCATTCATATAAGATTTTACTTGTCAGGCATGAAAATTGCCAAAAAAGAAAAGATAACCCACATCAATAACTCGGATTTTCAACGGTCACTGTCCCCTGCTCTAAATCAATTGAATCGGTTCAAAGTTTTCTTTAGTTCAGTCTCATCCTTAATCTGTCTGATTGCTAAAGTTGTCGTTTTATAGAGTTCTATATATCTCTGGGCATTAATTGCCTTTAATTTGACTTCCGTCATGTCTAATTAATGCCGCAAGTACAAGTCAGACGCTTTTAATTAGACGCTCGGCCCCCGTCTTTGAGGTCAGATTTGAGTACAGACTTTTCCTCTGCAAATATGTATCTTTAGTTAACAAGACAAGAACAAGAGAAAGATAAACTTGCGAAAAGCAAACATTTGGTAAGTTGAAAAGAAAGCGGCATCGTCGTCGTCGGCATTTCTAGCAGCATCTAAGAGATGCAGAGATACAAAGATACATAAGTATCTGCAGCGTAAAACGGTGGATCTTTTTTGGTGGAATTCTGATTGTGTAGAGTGGGTTTGAAGTGGGTGCCTTTACCTCTTTGTATAGCAAACAATTTGTTTATGTTTGCGGCTCTCATTCAGAGCAAACGGCGGCGTCTTTATTTATTGAAACGAACTTGACACCAAATGTACAGCGTTAGATTGCGGCCTAGGTGCGTTAGATACAATTCGGTTGAATGCAGTTCCCCCTCTTTTTGGAAAATATTAAATTAAACATTTCCGCTAGAGGTACAGCTCCCGTATAATAATCATTTTTAAACGGCTTATGTCACCCCCATAAAAAACACGAAACACGCACATAATCATCAACAGAATCGTTATGTGGTTTTTATGATGTTTAACACAGTTTTTTGTTCTTACTTTTCCCATTTCACTTTATCACCATCTGAAGTTCGAACTAGTTAATCTCTGGATTATGTATCTCTGAACATATACTCATATATCTTTCTATAGATCACCCCGACACTTTCATTTTCTCTGCCCCACAAAAGTCATAAAAACATTTTTGTGAGAGCTACCGACAGGATTAGTTATTCTATACAGAAAGAAAGAAGAAAAAGGCCACTTGCTGTTTGTAATATGACGCTAATCTTGGCCAGGAATTCCCTTTCAATAACTTTCCCAGCAGTCGGTGATCGTTAAATAAGTCGAGACAATGCCACTGATCTAGATTTAGGGACCTCCTGAGGCAGCTGCTTCCCCTTAAAAGAAAGCAGATCAAATAGGAAGAGAGAGCGAGGGCATTGTGTCACCCACCTTAAGGGATCACATAGAAATAGTAATAGAAATAGTCGCCATCGAGTGCACTTTATTTGAGTTTTCCTCGACTAATGAGCACTCCAGATCGTTATGCCAGAGCAAGTATGGTGGGTTCATCGACTTTCACAAGAGTTTTCCGCCTGCAGCAGGTAGTATGCCTCATTGCAGAGGCTAAATGGAGCGCTTGAAGCCCTGGGCTAATGCAATTTTAATTATCCACTAGATAGATGTGTGCTTAAAACAAATAAAAAAGAAGGCAGGCCATCCATCAATCAGCCCTGTCTCTGCCTCTGCCTCTGCACGCTTCAAAATTTGTCGAAATTTATTATTAATGCCAGGGAATTTTTAATTAGACAATGAAATAGGGGAAAAAAGAACATTATAAACCCCGCACACGTTCGCCTGTCACCGGGAATCTTATCACTTGGCTTAGACATATCATAAGTCAATAGAGAGGTTCTCCTCTTCCCTATTTTCTGTCACCCTAGTTAAGCCCCTATGACCTACTAAAGATGAAAGGGGGATTTTACCTAAATATATATATGTACATATAGTTTTTCTATAATTTTCAACTCGATTTTCTATTGCTTTCAGTTGGTTTCCCCATACTGATATTCTATCTGCTGGGCGATCCCTATAAAAGGGGCTTCTTCTGTGATGATGAGTCGCTGAAGCATCCATTCCATGACTCCACCGTACGGAATTGGATGCTATACTTCATTGGAGTGGTGATACCCGTTGGTGTGGTAAGTGTGTGATGGACAGCTAGAAAATTGTGTCAAGCAGCTGTTGGATCCGGATACTTGAGCAAAGATTGCGCAATTGCCTCAAGTTCAGTTTTGTCAGCACACAAGATCTGTTGCAAGATATATGTACATATATACAAACATTCTGGGTGGATGTTTAATGTCCACATGTCGGCAATTAAAGCTAGAACAACATGTGTCTGGAGGCGGCCCTACTAATAGTTCTAGACAACCAAACGAAATTCGTCCCATTTTCGGTGCCCTGTCATAAATATTTGCATGCGCCCTAATGACTTTCAGTAAAAGGATTTTACGAGCTGCTAACTCTCTGGAACTTGCATCCATTTATGATTCCTTCTTTCCCTTTAATCCTACAGATAGTCCTTGTGGAGGTTATAATAGCCCAGAGCAAGGTCAGGCGTAATAATGGAAACTCTACCAGTAGACGTTATGTCTTGATGAACTACGATTTACCCGAGTGGCTCATCGAGTGCTACAAGAAAGTGGGAATCTATGCCTTTGGTGCTGTGGTCAGTCAACTTACCACGGATATAGCCAAGTATTCCATTGGCCGTTTGCGTCCCCATTTCATTGCGGTAGGTGCATTTATATCTGGACATTTGCGGCAAATATCTCCCCTGCATTCTAACATTGCCAATTAATTTTAATCTGCAACATGTGCAGCAAGACGAGGCGACACTGACTGTGACACTGACAGCAGCGACAACGAAGACAAATCCCATGTCGAAGTAGGAGAAGACATTGGACATACACCAAGGGGGCTTTGGGGTTTATTTGAGATTCAAAAAAGGAGCATAAATGCACTCTCTGGGGTTTCATATGTTATTTAATATCTGTGGAAATATTAAAGAATTAATATATAGTTATTAGAGGGAGATTTGAGATTTAAGTATATAATTTACAAGGATATGAAGCTTTAAAATAAGACATTGATTAATAATAAACCCGATTGTACTAGTACTTTATATTTGAGATTGATTTTTATATCACTTCCAAGTTCTAAATTAAAATCCTTATAAACACAACTTTGTTCCTTTAAACCTGAGCATAAATTCCCTCAAGTTAAGGTTCTCTTCTCTCACATTTGTGTATCTTTCTATCTTTAGAGTATTTATAAATTCATGCAACCCCAAAAATGTTAAGTTCCCAGATCCGGAGTTGTGTTTTGTTTATTTATGATATTTTGACTGGATGTCAGACAAATTCATAAATATTCGCGGCGTCGGCAAGTGGCTTGTTAGCCAGCTATCGCGCGGATCATTTGGGGAGATCTCATAGGGATGGTCACAGGGATCTCTCTTCCTCTATATAATCTATATAGAAGGGGGAGCCCACGAAGGCACACAGAGCCGCCCTATTGTTTAGTGAAAAACGGCAACCGGGTAGATGCAAGTGCAGCTGTTGCCGCAACTCTAATTTGCGGCACATGTGGAGCCTCAAAAAGGCAGAGAGGAGGAGTAGGAGAAGCTCTTCACCAAACAAAAGATTGCTGTAGCTTAAGTCCAAGTCATCGTTTTTGGTTTACATTTTTTTTAATACGTTTCCTTTTCATATTCATCCGCCCACAGGTGTGCCAGCCCGTGATGCCCGATGGCTCCACCTGCGATGATCCCGTGAATGCCGGCAAGTACATTCAGGAGTTTACGTGCAAGGGAGTCGGCTCCTCGGATCGCATGCTCAAAGAGATGCGACTCTCCTTCCCCAGTGGCCACTCCAGCTTCACCTTCTTTGCCATGGTCTATCTGGCGGTAAGTTTATCCATTGTTATAGTCACACGATCGATCTCTTATTGTTCTCCTTTGTGGCTTACAGTTGTACCTGCAGGCACGCATGACATGGAAGGGCTCCAAGCTGCTGCGTCACATGCTGCAGTTCGTCTTCATCATGGTGGCCTGGTATACGGCTTTGAGTCGAGTCTCGGACTACAAGCATCATTGGTCGGATGTGCTGGCGGGATCACTGATTGGCTCCACGTGCGCCTTGGTTGTGGTGAGTTGGGTTTTGATTTTATGATGTTATATTGATGAGGAACCGAAACCCTAGCTTATACTATGCATGTACCAGTTGTTGCTTATTAGACTTTAGACTTTTATTAGAGATTCACAAACTTTCATCGTATTTTTTTAGAGCTATTGCCTGCCCCAGAGTTGGTTCAATTTTCAGACAGTTTGGCCCATCGCCAAAGGCAAGGCGCAGTGATCAAGGATCAGTATCATATATAGCCTAGTATCAGCTTATGACATTGTAAAGAAGATTAGCAATTAAAGCCTCACAATTTCTGCATACCAATATATATACATCCCACCGACTACTATTCATTATTAACCTGGTGGCGGCCATTAGCCTTAATTGAACTGCGGGAAGCAGTCAACTTCTTCTCCGAATTGGCAGATTTCAACACCTAGCCGAAGGGGGATAGGTTGCGTGTGGTGCCAATCAATGCCACAAATGCCATCTAAACGAAGCACGAGAGCCTCGGCTGGGCAGCTGGTCACCTGGAGGAGAGTCAATGCAGGTGCCATGCTTGTAATTTCACGCTTCACTGGGTGGAAAGGGGAGGTTTCAAAGGGGGAAAGGCAGTCATATTTCTCGGCGATTCAATTAGAGAGATATGAAACGAGTTAGGAAGTCGAAACATACAGCGAAACATACTTTTAGGAGCAGCTGTTACATGTACAGGAGCAAAAATTGGGGTAGAAAGATTTATAGTTCTTATAGAGACGATTTTTTACCTTCTTCATATATTAATATATCTTAAAATTAAAAACTTCAAAGAGTTAATTTTTCCCTTCCTTTACTTCCAGGTAAACTTTGTCTCTGACTTGTTTCAAAAGCCCAGCATAAAGTCCTATTTGCCGCGTACAGCGCAAGACATGAATGCCACGCAAGGACCTCCGATGCAGAATCAGGGAATTCGTGTTACCACAAACTAACCCGCTCTAGGAGGAGTGTCTCACAACTATTACAAATTCCACGAGTTGTAGCCTTCGGAGCTGCTCTCGATTTCTGTCCGGATTTCTATATCGGCCAAGCCAAGCTTAGCGAAAGCCCGATTTATATTTATTAATGAATTTTGCATTTTGTGTGCGTGAGTGTATGTGATCTGCAAGTGCACTTAGGCATGTCCTTAAGTGTCCTTAAACGTTAGCTAGCGCAATTGAGAGATAAAGAGATATCTATCTGTGTGAGGGTATTTATTGTACTATTTAATTAAGCAATTTTTAACTGACGCAACAATTTCGACAACAAACAAGTGACCTTCGAGCTGCACAAAAATACATGTAATAAAACAATGCGAAGGCAATAATAAGTATTATTTGTAAACTAAGAAATAAGCTTTTGGATACGAAAAGATATTTTAATTAGTTCTAAGACAATCTTTAAATAAATATGTTTAAATTATGACTTTTACTAAGATTGTGATGGTTTTATATAAATTTCTTGGGCAAATTAAAAGTAATTTAAAATTTATTTGATAATATTTTGAATTTTGAAAGAAATTCAAATTGGCGGGCTACTTTGTCGTGTTGCACGGGATATTTTTAATACGAACTATGAAAATGGAACCAGATGGGAACCAGCTGAAAACCACTCGCTGAACCAGTCCATGGAACCATGAACCATGGAACCCACACCCTATCGATGAATAGCCCGCCAGAAAATATTCCTATTGACCATTTAAGGAATTGTATAAAATATGCATGCCCCATGAATCGAATTGACATTTCAAGCATTTTGGTAGATGTTTCATCAAAATCCGTTCAGCCGTTCAAGAGAAAGCATCACTTTTTCATTTATTTCCATAAATGTTCCTTCGAAGAATAAATATATCTGGCAACACTGCCTGCCTAAAATGAAGTCAATTTGATTTAAGCTTTATTATAAATCTTATGCAAACTGAAGATCGTATCATTAACGGGATCGCAATTCTGAACATTTTGATATATGTTTCGTCAAAATCCGTTCAGTCGTTCATAAGAAATCCCGACTTTTTTATATTTTGCCATGAATGTATGTATGTATGTGTGTATGTTCCAGAGAAGAATATTAAATAAAAGAATGTGATTTAAACTTAATGCAAGTATGCAAAAGGAATAAATGGCATTGTAGCTCTGAACATTTTTTGAATTATATGTATATATACTAGTAAAAGTGTATAGAAGACTAACTGGAAAGTTTTAATTAGATAGCTTTAAATATTAGGGTCTAGTTTGTATATAATTGGACTGACAGACAGACGGACATAGCTAGATCGACTCTGCTGTTGATGCTGATCAAGAATATATATACTTTATATGGTCGGAAATAATTTATTCACTGCGTTGCAAATATTTGACCTGAAATCATATTACAAAGCAAGGGCATTGAAGCACTAGATTTGAGAAGCAAATTTTCGAAATAACATTTAATAGTCTGCCCAATAAATGATATCTTTATTCTAAGCAATTTGGTTGGTGTTTCATCGAAATCCGTTCAGTCGTTTTGGAGAAATTAACATTTGAATTACTAATTTATATACTAAGGAGGCATGACTGTGCACCCCTGGTATCAAACTGGAATAAATGAAAAGTCGGGATTTCTCATTAACTACTGAACGGATTTTGATGAAACATAGATCAAAATGTCTAGAACTGCGATGTCGTCTATGGGACAATCTTCCTTTTGCATAGGTTTAACCATAAAGTTTAAATCAAGTTGCCTTGTTTTAAGACAGGCAGGGCTGCCGGATATACATTTATATTTCGCCAGTACATAAATGGAAATAAATGAAAAAGTTGGGATTTCTTATGAACGACTGAACGGATTTTGATGAAACATGGATCAAAATGTTCAGAACTGTGATGCCGTTTATTGTATTACCTTCCTGTTGCATAGGTTCAACCATAAAGCTTAAATCAAATTGACTTAATTTTGGGCAGGCAGTGATGCCGGATATATTTATTCTTCGCTAGTTCAGCGAGTGGTTCTTGGCAGGTTCCCATCTGGTTACATTTTCATATTTCGCGCCTAAGCTATCAGCCCAAATACACCACTCACTGTTATTCGATTTTCTCGAAATCGGACGGTTATTTTAGTTTTTGGAAACTTTATTTTATTCGAATAAATTCGAAATAAATTAAAAATTAAAGATTCCCTCCATGTTCCATTTTTCCACTTACATTTAAAATAGGTAGTCGATATATCGATAATTAGTGGTATATTTTTATGCCACGGTCACGCTAAAATATTTGTACACAAAAACCGGCTCGTTTTTCGCAGAAAAAAGGTTAATTATTTAAATTAAAGTCAATACAAACTGTATTTGTTATCCGAATACTAAAGCAAAGATGTTACACCACTCCTAGCAACGAGTGCACACTTTGGATGACCGAAAATCGCTAATTTCCGCACCGCACCCATGACGTGTCACTCTCGCCCACCAAATTGTTCTAATCAATTATTTGTCGTGTTTTTTCAGAGATTTAAGCCCTCGAAATGATCACCGACGTGCAATTGGCCATTTTCTCCAACGTCCTGGGCGTGTTCCTGTTCCTGCTGGTTGTGGCCTACCATTATATTAATGCCAATACGGGAAAGTGAGTTAAATCCAACGATAAGAAGAGGACACCCGGCGACATCAACAATAAAATTCAATTTTATTATTTTCAGGCCAATCTCCAAGGCAAAATGATCCTCGATGTTTCCGCTTACAAGTTAATGTATAATGATAACGATAATGCTGCTTCATTCGCAAAATAAATAGTTGTGTAAATCTAGTCGAGGATATCGTTAATGGCATCCTTCATGGACTGAACATCCTCGAGGGTTTCCCCGCACTTCTGCTCCTTGGCTTTTGTGTAAAAGGTGCGATGTGTTTGGTGGCCAAAGCTAAAGGCCTTGATGAAGGGAAAAGCTTTAGATTCGGCTACGGGCACCGCCGCCTCGTCCACCTCCATGGAATTGTGTTTGCTCTTGGTCTGCCGCTTCTCTTTGGCCTTGTCCTTGCCCTGATCGAAGCGATAGTTGGCCGGAAACTTGTGGACTGTAATGCAGTGATCCTTGCGGTGTCGAGAAGTATGGAACTTGGTGGAGCACTCCTCCAGGAAGCAGGCGTACATGGGCTTGTCGCCCCGATCCACGCTGGCGGCGAAGTAGAAATCATGGGTTTCGGTGATGTGCAAGTCCAGTAAGTGGGCCGTGGGCAGCACCCTTCGGCATTCAGCGCAGCTGTAGGACTGCTCCTTGGTCCTGTTTCCGTTTCCTTTCGCCGGCGCATCTTTGGCATCCAAGACGTCATCAAATTCCACCAGAACGCCGAGTTTCTTGAAGGGCGGAATAATCAGCGGTGGCGGATCCGTGGGCTTTATGAATCCCTGCGGCGTTTCACTTAGTATTTGGATAAGCTGATCCCTTGAAAGGAGTATAGGAGAAGTCGCAGCATCCGAATCCATTTTTTTTTTTGCTCTGAAATTTGTTTTGTTTTGGTTTCTCTTTGCGCTGTTTTTTGGATGTTCACACTGGCTTGCATTTAACGGGAATAATTTAATTTGTTTGATCTTAGCTAAACAACTATTAAAAAGAAAATAATTATGCAACTGAAATTAAGTAATTTGAATAATGAACAGAAATAATTTCTTATATTTTAAATAAAGTGTAACCAAGACTAAAATGTAACATTAGTAGATACCCATGTATCTGTAGACGTGTAAAATTGTTATCTAGACGTGTAAGATGAAAAATGTTAAATAACAGCGAGTTTTTCGAAATATCGATAGTACCGATGTTTAACGATAGCCTCGATGTTGGCATCAACGTTTCCCTTTTTTCCACCTCTAAAGCAGACCGCGTGTTTTTGCTGTGGATTCTCTCTTTATTTTCTTTTCATCGCGTGGAAAATAAAGAAATCCTGCAAAGATGAGTCTGTACAACTTCAAGAAAATCATGGTGGTTCCGCCGGCCAAGGTAAGTGTCCCCCCGCAATCCGCGTCCAGCGGAGCACCCCGCAAGGGACTGCCCTAACCTCACTGCACAGGTGTTTACCTGGTGCGCAATATGTAAATAATGCGGGATCTTTATCTCTCCCTTTGCAGGACTTTATCGACATTATGCTGTCGAAGACACAGCGTAAGACCCCGACAGTCGTCCACAAAGGCTACAAGATATCCCGAATCCGGGCGTTCTACACCAGGAAGGTCAAGTACACTCAGCAGAACTTCCACGACCGTTTGTCGCAGATCATTCAGGATTTCCCCAAGCTGGACGATGTGCATCCCTTCTACGCGGATCTGATGAACGTGCTGTACGACAAGGATCATTACAAGCTGGCGCTGGGTCAGCTGAATACAGCCAGGCATTTGGTGGACAAGTGAGTAGTACAGCCACGTGCAATCTTGAGAAGTCCTGCTAATAATTATGATTTTTTAGCGTGGCCAAGGACTATGTGCGTCTGCTGAAGTACGGCGACTCTCTGTACCGTTGCAAGCAGCTGAAGAAGGCTGCCTTGGGTCGCATGGCCACTATTTTGAAGCGTCAGGCCTCCAACCTCACGTACCTGGAGCAGGTGCGTCAGCATCTGTCACGTCTGCCCACCATCGATCCCTATTCGCGCACCATCATCATCTGCGGCTTCCCCAACGTGGGCAAGTCCTCGTTCATCAACAAGATCACACGTGCCGATGTGGAGGTGCAACCGTATGCCTTTACCACCAAATCCCTGTATGTGGGCCACACAGATTACAAATACCTGCGCTGGCAGGTGATTGACACACCCGGCATCCTGGATCATCCGCTGGAGGAGCGTAATGTGATTGAGATGCAGGCCATTACTGCCTTGGCACATCTGCGTGCCTGTGTCCTGTACTTCATGGACATCTCCGAGCAGTGCGGTCACTCGCTGGAGGAGCAAGTCAAGCTGTTCGAGAGCATCAAGCCGCTGTTCACCAACAAGCCCCTGATTCTGGCCATCAACAAGGTTGATATTCTCACACCCGATGATCTGCCAGCTGAGCGAAGGGAGATCATTACCAAGCTGCAAGAGGATAAAAATGTGCCCGTGATGCTAATGTCCACAGTGCAGGAGACTGGCGTGATGGAGGTTAAAACAGAAGCCTGCGAGAGGCTGCTTTCGTACCGCGTTGACCAGAAGATGCGCACCAAGAAGGTGGACAACATTTTGAACCGCCTGCACGTGGCCATGCCAGCGCCGCGCGACGAGAAACTCCGTGCTCCCTGCATCCCAGAGCAGGCTTTGGCCCGCCTCCAGGAGAATGCCGACAAGGCGGAACGCAAACGCAAGCTGGAGAAGGAGATCGAGGAGGAGATGGGCGATGATTACACGCTGGACCTCAAGAAGAACTATAGCGAGATACCCGAGGAGGAGCGCTACGATGTTATACCCGAGTTCTGGGAGGGTCACAACATTGCCGACTACATCGATGCCGACATCTTCGAGAAGCTGGAAGAGCTGGAGCGCGAGGAGGGTCTGCGGGAGGATAGTGGCATCTACAACGTGCCCGATATGTCCATGGACCAGACACTCAAGGAGATTCGCGAGATGGCCAAGCAGATCCGAGGCAAGCGCTTCGAGCTGCGCGACGAGAAGCGTCTGTCATCCAGGAAGAACAAACCCGTCATTCCGCGTCACAAGCAGCCCAAGGTGCGCGACCGTTCTGTCAACAAACTGGTGCAGACAATGGAGGGTCTGGGTGTGGACATGTCCGGCAGCGAGACGGCCAACTTCACCAAGTCCGTGGTCGATTTGCGTCGTGCCCAGGTGGCCGTTGGCTCCAAAAAACTAGCCAAGCAGCCGCTGCTCGACAAGGAGTCCTCTGCGGTGGTAAAGAAGACTGGAATGCCGCTGAAGCGAGCTCCATCGCGCGACACACTGGGTATCAAGAATCTGGCCATTCGCAAGAAGGCACAGATTATGGCCAAGCGGGACATTGCCAAGAAGGTTACCAGGAATACACTCAAGGGAGAGGCGGATCGCTTCATTGGCACCAAGATGCCAAAGCATTTGTATTCGGGCAAGCGTGGAACGGGCAAGACGGATCGCCGTTAAGTTTTGCCGCCTTGGCTGGTTAAGTGATTCTACCTGGTATAATTTAAGCGATGTATCTTTATCCTTCATAAATAGCCTTCTTTAAATACAAAATTTGTATTTTTACAAAACAGAAAAACGAAATATTATAGTGCCTACTTTTTGGGGCTAATGTGGGGAGAATTAAGAAAGTTATGATAAAAGAAAATATATTATATATTGATCATTAATTTAAGGGAATTATATATATTATAATCAATTAATATATTTTATATAAGATATAGTCCTTATATAGTCGAAGTATTCGCTATTTTCCCTAATTTTTGTCGTTTTCCCATGCTTCTGCCATTTTAAAGCATTCTTTAGATATTTTCTCGCTCACATTGTATACTATTTATTTATTATTTTATATTCTATTTATTATATTATGATTTTCCCCTTGAATAACCTATTTATAGTAGAATTCGCTAGAAAACAAAGTTTCCCCCAACCTCTATTGTTCATTGTAGCTGCCACCTTCGCTGCTGCTTTACCTTGGTAACCAAAAAGTTTGTTTGGTTTTCCGCAAATTTTCTTGCCCATTGGAAAAGGTGGAAACTTTCCTCGAAGCCTCGCTTGCATCATGTCCAAAGCCACCACAATTAAGGATGCACTAAAGCGTTGGGAGGAGCGGGAGCAGCAGAATTCCCTGACTGCCAAGAACATTGATCTCCAGTTTCAGTGGCCGCCCATCGAGAAAATGGATAGCACTTTGGGCACTCTGGTTCAATGCGAGTGAGAACTTTGATGAACTTTCGTGTCCAATTAACCCTTTTTACCTTTGCCCTAGGAGAATCAGTATGTCCACGAATATGATTGAGAAGATATTTGGTTTATCGGGCATGAAATGCCTCAAGGTATTGTCTTTATCCCGAAACTATATCAAGCAGATATCGGGATTGGTAAGTAGTACTACTATTTCTATAAATTATTTTAAATTTATAGAGTATTTTTAGGAAGCTGTGGCTGAAACCCTAGAGGAACTATGGCTCAGTTACAATCTAATTGAGAAAATCAAAGGTCTAACTGGGCTGAAGTGCCTGAAAGTTTTGTATATTAGCAATAATTTGATCAAGGACTGGTCGGAGTTCAATCGTTTGGCCGAGATTGAGTCCCTTGAGGATTTAGTGGTTGTGGGTAACCCACTTTCCGAGGGTTTGGATGAACCCACCTGGCGGGCGGAGTGCATCAAGCGTTTGCCCACCATCCGGAAATTGGACGGAGAGCCCGTAGTGCTCAATGAGGAGCCGCAACTTTAAGGGAACATCTTTTATTAAGCAATAATTTAATATTATTATTTATATCTTTAAAATTTGTAGAAATTAAAAGACAAATTTTGCGTTATTAAAATAATTTTAACAATACAAAATTTTAAAAAGCCTTACTTTTATACCCTTCTAGAGTGTTGTTATTTCAGTCAGAAGCTCGAAAAACATTGAAGGACTCATTTCCGACCCTATAAATCATATATATTCTTGATCAGCATCAAAAACCGAATCGATCTAGACATGTTGGAAAGAAAAAAAAATTTGACAATTTTTTACCCCCAAATTTTGTTATTAAAATTGTCAAAAAATCGGACAAAATTTTTAATTTTTTAAAATTTTATATTTAATATGCAGATTTGTTAAACTATTAAAAACTAACACAGAACAGCTTTCCGAATGAAAATTAATGCATTTTTGGCTTATTTATGGTCGATTTTCTATATGGCCCCCTTTAGAATTAGGTTCATCTTTCTTGTTATTTTTAAATTCAATAATTTTCCTTAAATTGTAATATATTTAGTAAATAATAATTAAAGTATATTTAAATAATATTAAATTTAAGAGCGAGGCTTATAAGACTTCCTCCAATTTTTCTCTGCAAGCGACTGTGTTTTTCTATAAACTGGCTTTCCTTTTTTAAGCACAAAGCTTACCCTGTTTTTCTATTACACTTTTAATTTCTTGAATTTCTCTCAGTGCTTTTAGATGGACTTGTAAATATTTAACAGAGACGTTGGCCCGAGTGATGCGGCAAAATGCCGAGCCACTGCAGTGTAACTGACCTATTGGCCAAGTTTTGGGGCCGTCACTGTTGTCGCTCTGTTAAATGGGGGCTCTCAAGGCTGTTGTTGCTGCCGCAGTGCTGTTGCTGTGACTGCAAAGTTCATGTTAACAGTTAAACCCCCTCTCCCCTCCCCACCCCCACTCGAGCGGCAAACTTTCCCTTTCACTTTCCGTGGCTCGGCAGCAGCAGCAGCTGTTGTGGGTGAGATTGCTGGAAATCGGCGAATATTAATAACGTGTCGCTAGTCCTGGCATCGAATTAAATGGGGGACTTGGGGGGCCCCCAAAGAAGTAATATTCCAAATTAAATGGCGCGTGTTTATGCCGAGGGAAACACGTTGTACGAATGCAATGTAAATGTAGATGTATTCCCTCGACATTAGCCATATATATGTACATATATGTATTACGATTTTACGCTTTTTGGAGGCTGCGCGGGGCGGCCATTTTAGTTAGGCCCAACTTTTGGCAACATGTGTTCTCTTCTCTGTGTGCGTTAACTGTAAAATGTTGCCATAGTTCTGGCTTTAAAAAATATTTATAAAAAGGAAAAAAGAAAAGGCATAAAATCTGGGTAGAAACAGGCAGGGAAAGCGGAAGAGCGCTCGCCTATAATAGCACAACGAAACGCTTAGCATAAAGTAAGAGTTTTCCGCTTGGGCAGCGGAAGCAGAACCATAAAATGTGCTCTCCACAAACAAAACACACTAAAAGCACTTGGAAAAAATAATTAAAACTATTTTGAGGTTAATATTTGCATAAGAAAATCTTAAATTTTATTAAATTTAATTAATTTTTATTAAACATTAACATCATTAAATATTATATAGATAATATAAAAGCAAAATTCCGTTTTAATTTAGTTAATTTTCAAAGATTTTTCAACGTAATTAAACCAATGGTGCGTATACGTAATATTGCTTTTAAGAGTAATATTACGTATACGCAGTGTTGTTTTTTTTAAATCAACATTTCTGTTAACAGGTAATTTTTCTCCATGTACGCACGAAAAACTACAGACTACTTAGCAGCATGGCTCGTAAACAGATGCCCTCGTTTCCCCATCCCCTCGATGTCGCCCACTCAGCCGCACAACCACAGAGCCGCCCACCACCCACCACCCACACACACAGTAACAACACTACACTACTCGAGGCACACACATGCGTAGAACAGCAACAAAGTTGTGATAGAAAACAGATGCTTGAAATATGCAACAGCATATAAATAACAGAATAACAGCTAGCCAGATTGTATAAATGTGATGCAGGTCTCTGTTGTTAGCACTGACCTATTCTGTTAGTTAACAGAGACGACACAGCAACGTCAGCAGCGACCGAGGCAGAGGCCGAGGCAGAGGCACCGCTCACGAGAGAATTCTGTTAACTCTCCTCTCTGGATGAGAGCAGGTCTGTTAACGAATTTTACTTCCAACTTCCTACTTTCAGTACTTGCTTTCAGTCCTCTAATGAAGAATTTTTTCTAAAAATTCATTTACAGCAACTCTTTCAATTATAATTGGTATAAAATTATTATTTGCTTCACGAATTTCTGAGAAATCAGCCCCAAAGGCGACCACTTGTCTCTCTAAACGTGTAAAATACCTCAAATGTCAAAAGCTTTAACATTTTCAAATTTTCCAGTTTTAGCCGGAATCAAGTTAAACCGGCATCTCTCACCTGTTCGACGCCGAGAGTTTTTGCACGCTCTTCATGTTTTCGCCAGCACTGTAACGGTTCATCGGTCGACTGGTGGCAAACGTTGTTCCGGAGCGATCTCGCAAAAATTAAACAAAAACGGGGGAAAAGGAAAATAACCATCGTGAAAAAAGACATCCAGTGCTCGTGTGTGTGTTTGTGCCAGTGTGCCAGTGTCAGTGTCAGTGAGTGTGTGCTAGTGAGCTCATAAAAGATTCAACAGCCTGTCGGGGCTAAAAAATAAATAAAAATAAGAAAAATAACAACGTGGTTTGAGCGGAAAAAGCTACAAAAATGATACATAATTAGCCCAGAAGGAAATAACAAATAAAATGCTTGTGCAGCGGAGGAAACAACAGTGTTGAAGCAGAACAACAACAAGGTGAGCAACTGCAACAGAATACTAATAGTCAAAGCAAGAAGTACCCAAAAATGGCGGCAGGCAAAGGAATGAATTAAGAACAAATCAAATTTCGGATGAAACGAAAATTAGCAACATAAAAAATTCGACAAGAAAACGGTAAAAGCAAGGCACCCGCCGTTTCCCTTTCACCCACTCTTCCCTATCTCTCTCCAGTTCCCTTGGTGTAGTCCCCAAATGTAACGGTAATAAGCAAGCGTGTTTAACTTTTTCGAGCAGCATCTTCGTGTATGTATGTATGTGTATGTGTGTGAGGAGTTTTGCGGCTCCTACTGCTTCTTCATCTTCTTGTGCTTCACTCTCCAGCATTCTGCTTCATCTTTTTTCGTTTGTTTGCTGCGAGACATTTATTTGCTCTTTAACGTTTCAGCAGGACCAGGCCCGTTTTCGTTCCGGTATTATTTCGTTCCCTCTCTGCCCCCCTCTGGTTTTGGTCTTAGCTCAGACCACCCGCTTCCTCCCCCTCACACCCGCACTCTGACTCCCACTCTCACTCTCACTGCGAATCTCTTTGCCGCCTCAGCTCCCCCCCCTCATTTTGTCTCACTCGCTCTTTTGGGCTCTGGCATGCCGCAAAACAGTTAGTCCAACACTCAAAGTCTCTCGGCCCGTGACTGCCAGCCTGTGTTGGTTCTTGTATGCAGAGCGAATGAGATGGAAAATACAGTTGAACCTTTAAGGGTTTATAATTTATATTATATTTAATATTTTATTCTGACACTAAATTTGCTATTATTTTTGTATAGTTTACATTTAATAGTATTTAAATTTAATAATTTTTTCTTAATAAATTAAATTAGACTACACAATTTTACACCCTAAATTGAAATTAAAACTGAATTCAGTACTTTATAAATATATTTTAATTGAAATTGAATTGTTTATACAACCTTTAAAAGAAAATCCTGATTTTGGATGGAGTTAATATCAAATATCGTTCAAGTAAGGGAAGTTTCACTGTATAATATAAATTCGCCCACACACAGGCACCGTGTACATGTACATTCAACAATTTGCTGGCTCCCTATGCCTGAAGATTTTTATTTTTTTCGTCCTTTTTTCGCCCACCACTTGCGGACTGGCAGACTGCTGGACTTCTGGACTGGTGGACTGGCGGCCCGGCGCACTGGCGGACTGCCGGATGATGCTGGGAGCCAACGTCAACAAGTTGAAGCTGTTGCCCAGCTAGCCTCGTTAGTACGAGAGCCAATGTGTGCAACAGTGTGTGTTTTTGGGTGTGTGTGTGTGTGTCTGCGAAGGATCTGGTCTTTGGGGCTGTGCGAGTGGCGCCTCGAAGTATGCCACGAATAAAGATAAATCATAAGCACCAGCAGCAAACCCTGCTAAGTTCATTTTGATGTCGCAAAATGCCGAGAATCGATGCCTTAGTAGCCCGTGTTATTTACTAATTGAAATATTTCTGGTCCAGCATGCTGGACGACCCTTCTGTCTCGCAATTAGCCCTCCCGAAAATATGGGACCTAATTAAAATGAATGCACAATTAATTGTCAGCCGACGGGCCGAGACTATAAACAAAGCCATGTGTGCCGACTGACGGAGCATTTACTCTATATATATATATATATACGAACCATATATAAACAGAGTACTGTTGCCAGCATAAACAGCAGCAGCAAATTGTTGGGCTTTTGAAGTGAAATGTGATTAAGGTGTTTATACAAGAGAGATGGAGTGAGGGGGGCGGCACACACAAAAACACACACAATCCAAGGTAGAGAGTGCCAGAATTTACCTTTTGGTTGTGGAGGCCAAAGAATTATATTTACCCATCGATTCGCATTCGACCGAATGGCCTCGATTTTGCCCCCAATTTTGTGTCCCCTTTTTGCTGGCCAAAGATTAAAAGAAAAAACTCGGAAGCTTAAAAGGAATTAGGGGGATAAAAGGAAAAAGTCCGGGAAAATGGTAAATTTCCTTTTTTTCTGCGGCATTTCACGCATTTTTAATTCGCTTATTGGGCCAAGTTAAGAGCCTGCTGACCAAACCCTTCCAAAAGTTTTAACTCAACATATATTGCTATCTGAAGCTGACACATCATTAAAACTTTTTCCGGCAGATGCTAGAGTGAAGATAACACCGAAACTGAACAATATAGAATGAGGATGAGCGTAGATAAATTCAAAACAAATCCTTGGGGGCAACTTCTCTGGGAACATCAATCTTTCCAGCTAGAAAAAGAGCTAATGCTGGATGCTGGAGTGATTGGAAGCCAACATGTCGTATTGGTAATATGACAAAAAAAAAGAAAGAGGAAAAACTTGAAACTTTTGGCGATGATGCTTAAGCTTTTTGGCTCGTTCATTATAAGCTGTTCTGTATTTTCCCCACTTTTCTTTTTGGCAGTTTTTTTTTTTCATGCCGTTTCCTCTGGAATTTTCCTGTTGCTGTGTGTGCGTGCGTGTGTGTGTATGATGTGTGTATGCATGTGACATGTCTGACGTCTCATTTTCTGCCATATAAACCCGATTCAGCTGGATTTTTGCCTTAATTTGGCATTAGGGCGTTTCAATGGAAACTCATTTGAAACTTTCTTTCGCAAATCTGTGCATAGGCGGCTTCCTGTGTGCACCCAAAAAATAAGATAAAAACAAATCAGATGCTAAAATATATGTATAAAAAATAAAGGAATATTTATATGCGCATATTCTTGCCGCTGCGTGCGTGTGTGCTTGTCTGCGCCTGACCGAGCAGCACTGTGCCTCAATATTATTTTGGCCCTGTGTGAGAATACGGCAGATGTTTGTCCAGGCAAAGGCAATATATGTATATACACAGATGTTGTGCTTGGGAGAGTAGCATGTATTTGGCAACAGCGGGCTAAATAATACATACAAGTCTGTATATGGGCTTACGCGTATTGGCCAAAACTTCTTTCACGCACGAACAAAGGCGGACGCAGGACGCAGGACGTAGGACTCCTTAATCATCGATATACACAATGTCGCGGCTTCCAAGCCTTTGGGCCAAATTAAATATGCTTCATGCTTCATGCTTTATGGTTTATGGTTTATACCAACCTGGTTTTGACCTGCCTGCCACTGCTGACCGATTTTTGAACAATAAATCGGCATTGACATTTTGATCCACATTTTGCATACACGCATACTCGGCGTGCCTAATTGATGAGGCAACCTCTGTGGATACCTTATTCAGGATACTGGCCCATAAATCATGAGCAAATCATTGCATATTCAATGCAAATTACGGCAGCCTAATAAATTGTCTCTGACCTCCTGAATTAAATTAAAAAAATATATATAGTGAGAGAGAGAAAAAAGGCAAAAAGCAAGAGTAGTCAGAAATTGTGCCGCATTAAATTAGCCAACAATTCTGCGGCTTCCATTCGGTTTTTGTGGGTTGGCCTTGGCTCGGCCCCGGCTCTTGTCTTTGGACAACTATTTTCCGTAATTCCATTTGCTCCAAGCAGGTTGGCAGCAGACAAAACGCAATTAGCATTAACAAGGAAACCCTTGAAGCCAACCCTCCTGCTCTACCCTACGCTACCCTCTCCCCTCTCCCCCTTCTAAGCTGGCAAAAACAATTTAGCAGCCACAATTAAAGCAAACATTTGCTCGGAACAGGAACCGCAATGAGTAGAGTAGCATTGAAATGCTCAAAAACTAACACGATTTAAATTCCGCTTAAGCTCGAGCTCGATATTTGAATAGTAAAGCGGTATGGAAATTCCAATTAAACTAAATCAACATCAGCAATTTGCATTTGATAAAGTCAAATAGAAAATTTTATAAAACGTTGCTAGGAATTATTTAAAATTGAAGAGTGTTTGCTGTAAAAGGATAAAGGACAAAGTTGGGGTGTCAAAATGGTCAGGAATTTGATTAAATAAAAGTGTGTATTACTTAAACTAAGCCCTTGTTTAAACTTACATCTTTTAAGAAGGGAATTAAATAAAAAGCATTGCTGGGAAAATTAATTATTGAGTTCATTATACAAACTTAAATAAATAATTTAACCAAACTTAAAAGCTAAATATTTTATGAGTGATTCAAAGCCAAAACTAAAACCAAATTCCAAACAATAAAACTTTGATTAATTGTTAAAGTTGAGTCTAGCCTAAGGAGTATTTCATTCCTGAGCTTGACAGGCACATTAAATGTGAATGAATCCTATTTCTCTATTTAGTTTTTGTCAGTAAAACTTTTGCGAGCATCTGCTGAATCTTAAATGAGTTCAGACTTGACCCAATTCTTGGAGGCTGGTCTTAATCAGTCGGCGAGCTAAGTGCTAAATGAAGGCGAAACAGTCAAGATGGCTTTGGGGCATTGAGAATTCACAAAGACGGTCAAACAAGGTGGGGGGAGAAGTTCCCAAAAGGTGTCTGACAGGTCACGAAATTTCAGGCAGGTGGAAAATGCAACTGTTGCACCGGCGAACCTCGGCAAAGTAATTGTCGACCGTGCGCATAAGTGCCTGCAGCGTATACATATTTGTATGTGTGTGCAGCTGGCTCTTCGTGTACCTTCACAAATGTTGCTCATACGCCGCGTGGTACGCCAACAATATCTCATGCAAGCAAAACGAGGCGACAACAAACCACAAATTGACATAGCTGTGTGAAAGGATAAAAGGAGAGGAGGAGAGAGAAGGGTGGGGGAGGTCGAAAGCTATGCACTGAGATTAATATTTAAAGGCAAGACATTTGACATATAAATTTAACGTTAAGTTGGGCATAAACAGAAATGGTTGTTAATAATCTTTAATGCTCCGGTTAACCTCAGTATGGGGGTTATATGTCTTGTAAAATTCAAGATTTCTACTCAACTTTATTAGCTGTAATTTTAATTGGAACGTTTAGATAATAGAAGGGATTTCTTCAGTTAAAATTTAGTGTTGTTTTGGTACAGCTTAAGAGGAAATTGAATAATTTTAAAAAGGTATTTGACGAGAGATTTAAGAAGGCTCTGAAAGCTCTGGTTAA